AGTGTTAATTCTAGTAGGCTACGGAGTTTTGATTTTAAACGTTTGTTTAGCCAACAGCTACCTGGGATTTAGTTATTTTACTAGTGCAGTTGATAGTACCTAAATTTTTAATCTTATTATCTAAACTATGTTCGCATTTTAGGCTGCTAATATGATAAACCAATCCATAAACCCAAATACGATTAGCAACAACGACTATGATGGGTTTATTGATAAATGTTAAAGGCGATTCAGATGATTTCTAAATTTAGAAGACATGGAGATATAGTGTAACGTATGTATGGGCCAGGTTAACATGCAGGTTGTTGACGTATATGACGATTTAAAAATAATGAACATGACCAGAAAATAATTTTAAAGTTTAGACTGCTTGTGAAACTTCAGGCAGGAATATGATGCGTTATAAACATTCCATAAGAAGTTACTGCATTTAGCCTAGGGACACTTACAAATATATAGCAAAAGGAACCGGAAAACATATACATGTTAAGTAAAAAAATCATTAAGTAAAATAGTTGAACTCGCCTGGGTTATTTTTGAAAATTAGATTATTCAGTGGACGACATATATAACGCCATTCGTGAGGAGTAGTAATGATCCAAAAGTATCCAGAATAAAACATGCAGTATGGCAATTAATTCCAGGGTGCTTGATGCTGTTGACGTTTTTGCCACTCGCTCGGATTAGAACAACCGAATGAATTCAGATAATTGTGCGGTCACCATTGAACGAGCCATCTAAAATGACCTTATGATTGCAGAAAACTTATGGCTGAAACTCACCGTATGTTTTTAGAGAAGTGTCATCCTTGTTGTTTGGCAATGGAACTCGAAAATTTGAAATTAGGCAGGCAGTGGTCGGAAGAAAAGATATTACAGGATAGTGTATAGTTTAAAACAGGATGAGGTAATAAGATAAGGAACACTGAATATTAGATCCAGGTAACTATTTAGTCCTTGCTGCATTGTTAGTCAATGTATATTTGCGTTATTTACAGGTCATATTTGCTAGAGCTTGATGCTTAAACAAGCCTATGTCGCTGAAGCATGTAAATGCTATTAAAGCTTGTTAACGAACCATCAAAGCTAATTAGTTAATATAGACGACCAGTTTTTATTATCGAATGAGCTAGTAAGTAATGTGAACTAATAGATATAACATTACGATAATATATGTGACCATTAATCAAAGGACTATTAGAATAGTGGGTTTACAAAAATAAATTCCGATTGAGAAGGTTAAGGTGGAAATAAGGATTAACAATAATAGGTTGCGTTTCTTTAGTTGGGCTCACCAATGTAGAATTATGGTCTACTATGATATTAGTACTGCTCTAATAATAGACCTAATCCTAAATTTGTAGATTTGTCATGATATAACCGCCTAATCTATAAGATCTTACGTGGAAGTCACACCATCGACTACACCAACTCACTGTATCGTATCAATTACCAATACATTATGTAGAACAAGGTTAGGCTAGAGAAAGAACAATATATTTAATATGAATAGAAGATATAAAGTAACATTGAGATGGACCACGCCTGCATGGACGAGCCATGCCATCCGATCAACCCCAGTCCATTCAATTCATTCTCCGCGCCTTCTCCATTGTTAGGTATTTCCCCGAGTTAAATATTGAATATCTATTTTCTGAGTAGTCTCGTGTTCACAGCTTTGTGGATTGTGTGGCTATTGTCCAATGCCACTACAGACCAACCTAAATCATTAATTTACAGCCCCACAATTACGATTCCCCACAAAATAATCAACAGTCACTAAAAACATCGTCAGTGTCTGACAACCGAACTAATACAACGTGTTCTGGAAGAAGGGTGTGTTTCACAGGACACTTGATCGACCACTACACGCAACACGCAACATACTGTTTTCCCATCTCGTTATTTTCTTTATCATTGCGTCAGAAAGCCAAATTGAACACTTTTTGCTTGTATGCTCATATATGTGTTTATGAATCTTTTTAACAAATAAAATTAAAAGTTCGAAAAACAAATTGTGCAAAAATAGTTTCTACCCTATTGTATTTTTACAAAACAAATGAATACTAATTTTTTCGCCCGTTTTGTCTCCTTACGCACGTACGAGTGCAATCCGATATGCACTTACGTATCCTTTTTTCCAGGATACCTGGAGAATATAAACAACCGACGAGAAATATAGTGAATCGAAATTGTCATTGTACACTTTTCCATTGATGAGTTGTACCACATGCCCGTTTAAATTGGGGAAGATGACCAAATGCTGCCACACATCGCAAGCGTAATGCATTGGATTTACTGGAATCACTTAGCTGATGGTGTTTGATCATGCATCTGCAACATATCACGATAGGGTACGCCGTGCTACACGTCCCACCTAACTGTCAGCCATATTAGACCTAATGGTGATATAAGACAGACTCATGAAGGAGTCCACGAAGTTTTTGTTCTTCTTCTGCTATTATCTTCAACTATTCCTCAGTCAGGAGTAATTACTCTCGGCCTGGAAGGAGATACTTGTAGAATCATGGTGTATTATGGCATTAGTGCTACTCTGATGATAGACCTAATCCTAAAATTGAACATTTGTCTTGATGTAACTGCCTAATCTATAAGATCGTTCGTGGAGGTCACACCATTGTCTCCACGGACTCATCATATCGTAACAATTATCAATATATGATGGAGAACACATTCAGGCTGGAAACAGATAAATATATCTAATAAGGGTAGAAATAATGTTATATAAGATCACGCCTGCAAGGCTGAACCATGCCATCCGATCAACTCGAGATAATTCAATTCCTTCTTCCCGCCTTCTTCATCGTTGAGTTTTTCTCCGCGTTAAATATTGAATATCTAGTTACCCGGTTGTCTAGTGTTCAGCTTTAAGGATTGTGTGGTTAGGGCTCAATGCCACTACACATACTCACACATATAATAGGTATTAGACAGAAAGCAAGCAATTAACAACCGCCCACCCTGCTCTGTTTATTAGTCAAAGTTATCGAAAAGGCTATTGATATACTCTCTTAATGGCATTATGGTTTTTTTTATCTGGTAGATCCTGTAACACATATCAGTCGACTCCATAGAAAAGCTCATCTATCCCACCGAAATACAACTATACGACAACTTTTGGCTTCCTAGGCGTCTTAAAAGTGTTCGAAAGATTTAATTAATACATCCAGCCGTATAAACTGAATTCTATGAACATGAGCGAGTTTTGATGTACAGGCCCTTAGATTTACTAGACTAGTAATTATAAAATGTTAGAGTCTATAATCCTTTGTCAAACTGGTATTCAGTGGCAAATGGAGTACCACTAAGTCATTACCCTGTGTATTTGTTTATTTATTACTTTGTAGTGGCTTACATTTATCATGAGAACATGATTGGTTTAATGAAAACAATTATTATCATAACCAATTGTACCAGTAACTTTTTTAATGTGCTCTTTGTTTAGCTGTGCTAAAAACATCCATTACACTTACCTCGATTGTGACCTCGTGCGAATCCGGTTACGCTCAGTAACCAAGCTTGTATCCTAACACGATCTCGGTATTCTTTCGATACCACGAGATTGCCAGCAAATATATCTCGACTTGATCCATTAACTGCCCTCTGATATTTGGCTTCCGAGGGATTTTATGGATATCCTGGCACGCGTTCCTTTGTGGTGGTGTTCATAGTCAACTGGAGCTCGAAGCCATGCTACAAAATGACCAACTCTCTTGACTCTCGAACACTTTTTCATTAATATGACTCCATAATCTGACCTCGGTTAAACATGACACTCTAAAAAACCTACATACAGACTTCTAAAGCACCTCTTCCTATGAACACCAGTAAATATATAACTTTAATAGTGGACAGCATTGACTTCACACCCACCGAGTGTTTCCTTTTATCACTCTATAACTACTAGAAAGAACCTAATCGCTGATCCTTCTTACACTCTAGATGTCCCTTCCGATTAACGTTTCGCAGCTAATAAAGCACAGACAACGCTGAAGTTTATTTCTAGAACACTCGAAAATTCGACTCTGAAGTTATTCAAATCTTTTCAATCTTTAACCAAGTTGTCATTTGATAAGAAAGCTCAAGTTATCTCCTTTTATCTTAGGAGGATATTGCTGCTCTGGAACATATTTCAAAGAAGAGATGTTACATTGTCCTCCGACTAAAACACAAACCATACTTAGCTCTCTTAGGGGCACTTGACTCGTATTTAATGCTGTAGATGATGACTAGGTCGGACATTATCATGAAATCGTTGCGTCCCCTTTTTTTCAAAAGAGACATCAATTTTGGTGGAGTTTTGTTCTCTGAGCTGGATGGTATGGTCGTGGAGTTTTCATCGTTATTACGCACAATATCATTAGAACTAAGCCTACCTGAAGTTTTTACTGATGATATCGTGCAGAATAACGATGAAGGCCCCATTACGAACTCAACTTTTTTCTCTACTATTTTCTCCATTTCAACCAACCGACCTCCTACTTGCTAATGTGGTTGCTGCTGGTATTCAGATACAAGCGCACCCACTCTGATTAAAAGGTACATAAACCTACTAATAGCTACCATGCTGACTAGAATTAAAGCAGTTGAACAGTTAGATAACCGCCCATTGGAAAATACCATAACCATACCGAAATAAGGGCAAGGCAATCAGTCTCTGTGTGCGAGCTTGTCACAATGGTATCAGGTAGTGGAACCCAAGTACACTCGCGAACCAAATTTATCAGTACCGAAATACTAGTCATATTTAATGAGATTATTGTAACGTTGAAACTGGGAAAGTTTAAGTGATCACAAATAAACATGTAAAATCATCCCATCGGATCAATAAACACGCAGTAAAAAATCTATAGATTTAAGACAGGTCATCAGAAATGTGTCACAAACACTAGTTTGCCGTAAGAACATTGAGTATTATATGTGCTGTTTTAGTCTACTGTCGTTACCTAATTATGAGTTGATAACTTTTTAAAGTACAAAATGTATTCACGCTTTAGCATAGTTATTTTATTTGGATTTGTCCTATCACTTTCCCATTTGGATGTTGAGGGGATTAATAATCTGCAAAATGCAAAACAGTTCTTTAAGAATATATTTCACAATACAGCTAAGAAGTCGGCATTCGTTAATGTATGTTGCTATAAAATAAAATGTTTTTAACCTACTATTTTGAAACCCTACAGTTTATAAAGTTACATACGTGTGTCATTTTTGTTTCCGATTGACATCAAGTCGACTGTTTATAGCTCATGAACGCCTAACCACGTTTTATTTTTGAGTGCATTTATATCGAAATAGCGATTTACTTCTTACAAGTCAAGCGGTCTAGAAACTATTCACAACTCATAGTCTCAGTTTAGATTGGAGTTCGGCTGGATTTTGCAGCATATCTTTTCATTCAGATGTTACAATCTTGATAACAGTCTGGCATCTGAAACATTTTACTTAACTGAACAAGGACTTAACCTGTAGAAACCCCATTACTTACGGGAGTTTACCGTATATTAATCACCAGTAAGTGGGTGTACTGAAGAGTGTTTTCGAATGAGTTATGCTCTTGCAAGACAGTATTAGATTCCGAATTTTCAGATTTTCCTTTTGAAGAAGAAGACCGACGGAATGTGTTAGCAATGCGTTATAGTCTTTATGTTACAGGTTACTGAAAGTACTAGTTCATTGTGGTGAAGTACTGAGAAAGACGTTTTCAATACTTTTGTTATCTCCAAATACATAGAGACATTCTTAATCGAACCGACGTGAATTAATCATGTCATAGTTTCGCTTGACGAGAAGTTGAGATCGTTTTGAAGTTCCTCGTCGTCGCCATTCACTTAACCAATACTCCGTCAATGCTTAAAAAACAACAGACCTTTAGAAATATATATTTTGTATGATCTTGTCTTCAAAGTCGATTGTCATTTGATTTATTTGTATTTAGTTCTAGTTACCATTCGTTGTTTTTGTAGCCATGGATCTATTCCAGTTGACCAGATTTAAAAAAAACAGTCAGTTAAAAGGGGGCAAACATGTTCGTTACCAAGACTTCTGCTATATATATTTCTGTGTAAGTTATTGATCTATATCGAGCATACTATGATTCCCACCAAAAAACGTAGAAGAGTGCAAGTAAAAGAAATATTTTCAAAAAATTTCATTAAACCTTGGCTAAAAGTGCACTCAAAGCAATAAAAAAATCAGCTTAGGTCAAAAACAAGGTCCTAATTAAATGTTCTTTGCTTCACTTAAAAGAGCAAAATATAGTACTTAAAGGCATACTTCATAATTAACTCATCGTTTACAAGATATCCAGAGACTATAAAAAGAGGCACCATTAAAAATTTTACAGCCAAAATCCCGAAAGAAAATTATATCGCCTCTCTTACAGTTACGTTTGTTTACGGGTAATTTTATCCACTACTTCAATTAACTTATTCAACAGACAGTGTTATTCGAACGGTAACAATTTGTCAATTCCTTTTTATTATTGTTATTATCATGTCTGTATAAGCATGTATGCTTGATTACGTATAACGGCCTACGCGCATAGTCCTCACTACACCTTAAATAGTAGTTGCTTAAAAGTCGCTCGATGAATCACTTGCTTTCCCACATATATATATGTGCTTGAATCTTATTAATTGATTCGCTTCGATTCGATTTGACTCGGAATCCGCCTATGTATTCGCTTGTTTGTGCGCACCAGCCTTTCCGCTCAAATTCACTTTGTTTGCATTATGATCTGTGCTATCCAATAATAAACTGTAGTCGGCGCTTCGTGTTGCTTTATGAATTTGTCAGTCAGTCAGTCAGTAACAACGTAGAACTTCGTACGTACGTACATCAGTTCGAGTTGCCACACCACATTAGCACAGAGATGCAGTGCTCGATTCAAATCCCGTAGTGGTAGAGGTAATAAGAGTATAAGCAGTAATCGGGAAGATTAGTGTTTGGAGATGTTACTTAAAGAGTATAATACAGTGAAATAAATTTGGGAAGAGAAAAAAAAGAGACAAGGAGGAATAAGGAGATCAAGATTTGGGAGAACACAAAGAGTGGATTCACTTGCGGCATGGCAAACGATTTTGAGCCATGTCATTCAAAGTCTCTAACCATCGGTTGCTATCGTCTCGCGGATCCCAACCAGGTAGTCTACACCTACCAACATGACTCAGTCCACTTGTCAGTGACTTCATGGATTTGTGCCATGTTTTGGTCTGGCCGCCCCTAGCTTTCTTCCAATCTACTCCTACACCATAAAACATCTCACGTCGAGGCAGTCGGTGGTTGGGCATACTTAACACGTGTCCAAGCCATCTCAACTGATGAAGTTTCACTACATCATCAATTGATTTGCCATCCTTACCTAGTACCCGTTTCCTAACAACTGAGCTACTTACTCGATGGTCCCACGATATACGAGCAATATTTCGAAGACACCTATGATCGAATACTAGTAACCTACGAATATCCTCTACTCTTACCGGCCATGTTTCACTGCCATAAAGTAGGACGGAACGAACTGCTGCGCAGTAAACCCGTCCTTTGGTTGATAGACGGATATCTCGCCTACGCCATAAATGACGCAAGTTGGCAAAAGCTAGTCGAGCCTTCTGTATCCGTGCTGAGATTTCGTCACACACTAAACCACAAGGGCTGATGAGACTTCCAAGATAAGTGAAGCGGTCGACACACTCAACTACTTCACTCCCTATCACTAGTTCGGGTGTCGATGTAACCCAATCCTGAAGCAACATTTTGCATTTCGAGGGAGAGAATCGCATCCCGAACATGCTTGCATTGTTGCTTAGAGTGGTCAGAAGACTCTGCATTTTGTCAGCGTCTTCACCAAATAAAACTATGTCATCAGCATATTCTAAGTCAACAAGTGAACCTCCCGGTAGAAGTTCAACCCCTGGAAATTTAGATGAGGAGAGTGTTATCTCTAAAAGTACGTCGACCACAAAGTTGAACAAGAATGGGGAGAGTGGACAGCCCTGACGAACACCACTTGAGGTAATCAATTCTGATGACAGTTCGCCATAAGCTCTCACTCGACCAGTTGTGTTCGAGTAGAGAGCCTTTATAAGGTTAATGTACTTCTTTGGTACTCCTTTCAGTGACAAACACTGCCATAGAACCTCACGATCAACAGAGTCGAATGCCGCCTTAAGGTCGAGAAATACTACCATTGTGGGGCGTCTGAATGTGTGTCTGTGTTCTAGAACCTGACGTAGTGTGAATATCTGATCTATACAACCACGTCCAGGTCGAAAACCGGCCTGGTTTTCTCTAATCTGCTCTTCACGAGCTTTGATTAGGCGTCGAAGTATTATTGAAGCTAATATTTTAGACACTATATTAGTCAAACTGATTCCTCTGTGATTGTCACAAGAGGACTTTTGTCCTTTCTTATAGACTGGCACAATCAGTGATTGAGACCAGTCAGATGGGATTACGTCCAGTTCCCAAATTCTACCTAAGACCTCGGTTAATCTCATTGCTAATACTGGACCACCATCCTTAAAAATCTCAGGAGTAAACCTGTCAGGGCCTGCTGCTCTCCCTCGTTTCAGATTTCCTATGGCTTTTTCAACTTCGTAAAGGGACGGAGGACCTACATTAACTTGCCATTCAGGTTGACTAGAGATCGTGGGAAACCGAAGTGTGGCTGAAGGCCAGTTGAACTGATCCCTAAAGTGTTCTGCCCATCGATCCAATCTCCTGGATTGAGAATGAATAATATGTCCATCTTTTTCTGAGATTGTTTCGCTAACGGTCGGGTTCCTAATTCCGGTTTCCTTAACGAGTCTGAACAATTGTCTGCTATTACCTATTGCCGCTGCCTTTTCCATCTCTCTTGCTTTCGCTACCCACCACTGTTCGCGATCATTGCGTAGACTTCTTGTCAGCTTGCGCTTAAGCTGACTCCGCTCTTCATTATGTTCAGAGCCAGGTGGAATGAGTTTCCGAGCATCTATCAGTGCGATAGATGCTGCTGAGATCTTATGAATTTGTACAAATTCATAAATTCGTACAAATTATGAATTTGTACACTATCGGGATATACTTAATAAAGTTTATCAGGGTGATTGATAAACAATCTAAGCCAGACCACTATAGAATATTTAAATGTCTGTGGAATTAAGTAATTTAAGGCCAGAAAATCAAGTTACTTCACACGCGACTTCTGAATATCACCCAGACGTTTTCTTTAATTGCGAGTCGGAATGAGATTAATAATTTTCAGCAACGTATCAAGCTACCTGAGATCTTACATTAATTGCTGATTTAATAAACGAGAGGCTTTCTAATAACGTATAATTTGTCTAAGACTACTTTGTTACTTTCCAATATTGCCACATTTTAAGCCTTCAAATAAACGTTGAGTAATATTTAGGGACGGGACCAAAAGCGCACAACAATGCTAAGCTTTTTCGGATACTACTCAAGTAGTTCACCTAACATTGCACTTGAATATTCCGGTATGTATCTCTTCTTCGGTATATTTTAAGTACAGCTCTTTTGAACATTATCTATTCAATCCGATATGACAGTGATAATTAAGGACATTACAAATATTTTAAAGTTACATTGTCAATTCTTCCTATTTGTCAAAATTACTGCATTTGATTTCTTCAGATTTAAGCGTTCTGTAACTCATGCATTAAAATCAAATAATTATAGACAATCTATTTAGTATCTGTGAGGTTATGTACCCGCTGTTTTTGACTATTTTCCTATAAAAGGTAGACAAAAGTTTAAACTTTTTGATGCGTTTAAGAATTTGATTTATGTTCAGCATTATTCACGAAGTGCTTAGATTTGATTAAAATATTGATTATTTTCCTTCTTATAAATCATCTTGTAAGTCTATCTATCAAAAATGGACCCAAAATGGTATCCAATGAACAAATGTACTGAATTTCTGAGATGTATCCTCCATTGGCGTGTATAATGATAGGTAGATCTCCAAAATGGATCATAATTATTGATATTGGCACTTTAAGCGGTAAAAACAACCTACAATGGGACACTCTGAACATTGTTCTGGTCTTTATTAATTTCTAGTGAGAACTGACTACATTAATTATCCGGACATAAATAATGTTATTTGGAGTTAAGGTAGTATTTCTCGACCTTAAGGCGGCATTTGACTCTGTTGATCGTAAGGTTCTATGGCAGTGTTCGTCACTGAAAGGAGTACCAATGAAGTACATTAACCTTATAAAGGCTCTCTACTCGAACACAACTGGTCGAGTGAGAGCTTACGGCGTACTGTCATCAGAATTGATTACCTCAAGTGGTGTTCGTCAGGGCTGTCCACTCTCCCCATTCTTGTTCAACTTTGTGGTCGACGTACTTTTAGAGATAACACTCTCCTCATCTAAATTTCCAGGGGTTGAACTTCTACCGGGAGGTTCACTTGTTGACTTAGAATATGCTGATGACATAGTTTTTATTTGGTGAAGACGCTGACAAAATGCAGAGTCTTCTGACCACTCTAAGCAACAATGCAAGCATGTTCGGGATGCGATTCTCTCCCTCGAAATGCAAAATGTTGCTTCAGGATTGGGTTACGTCGACACCCGAACTAGTGATAGGGAGTGAGGTAGTTGAGTGTGTCGACCGCTTCACTTATCTTGGAAGTCTCATCAGCCCTTGTGGTTTAGTGTGTGACGAAATCTCAGCACGGATAAAGAAGGCTCGACTAGCTTTTGCCAACTTGCGTCATTTATGGCGTAGGCGAGATATCCGTCTATCAACCAAAGGACGGGTTTACTGCGCAGCAGTTCGTTCCGTCCTACTTTATGGCAGTGAAACGTGGCCGGTAAAAGTAGAGGATATTCGTTGGTTTCTAGTATTCGATCATAGGTGTCTTCGAAATATTGCTCGTATATCGTGGGACCATCGAGTAAGTAGCTCAGTTGTTAGGAAACGCGTACTAGGTAAGGATGGCAAATCAATTGATGATGTAGTGAAACTTCATCAGTTGAGATGGCTTGGACACGTGTTAAGTATGCCCAACCACCGACTGCCTCGACGTGAGATGTTTTATGGTGTAGGAGTAGATTGGAAGAAAGCTAGGGGCGGCCAGACCAAAACATGGCACAAATCCATGAAGTCACTGACAAGTGGACTGAGTCATGTTGGTAGGTGTAGACTACCTGGTTGGGATCCGCGAGACGATAGCAACCGATGGTTAGAGACTTTGAATGACATGGCTCAAAATCGTTTGCCATGCCGCAAGTGAATCCACTCTTTGTGTTCTCCCAAATCTTGATCTCCTTATTCCTCCTTGTCTCTTTTTTTTCTCTTCCCAAATTTATTTCACTGTATTATACTCTTTAAGTAACATCTCCAAACACTAATCTTCCCGATTACTGCTTATACTCTTATTACCTCTACTACTACGGGATTTGAATCGAGCACTGCATCTCTATGCTAATGTGGTGTGGCAACTCGAACTGATGTACGTACGTACGAAGTTCTACGTTGTTACTGACTGACTGACTGATTCGGAGTTAAATTTAGAGTCAGAAATAACCTAACCTGTTATAAGAACCATGATATTTAGTTTATGGTTGTTTTTAGGTTCATCTACGGTTCAATTTTGAGTACCTGATGATACGAACACACATTGATCCAACTTTCAACATGCTAACACAGCACAACAATATCGACAAGATGGGAAATAATGTCAAAACAAGGTAATTCTGGCGTGGCAACTACAGTTAGTGGAAAAAGAGAAGCTCTAACCGAGTCACAAAAGAGTGGAATGATATCGGTCTTACGATTTAGGTTGTGAATAAGTGTGTCTATCCTGATGCGATCATTCTATTCACCATGTTTCTGGACGTCTCATCCGGGAATTTTGCGTGACCCAACGTTGTCAGGATCAGCAGTCCGTGAATTCAGAAATAAGTACCCTATCCTATTTGCCCGCCCCTAGCTTTTTGTAACCTACTCCTATTTCCGATAATGTCGTGTGCATGTGTAAGCAGTGATCAGCAATGAGTAACAGGTGTTTCAACAAATTCGTACGATGAAGGTTTATAAGCTCATACGAGAATGTATCGTTTTTACTTGGTACGATGCGCCTGACATCAGTTAGCTTGATAATATTTCGCTCAGTGGTTTTCTTATTGTTATTATATTTCCTCTTCTATATTGTTTTATTCAAACTAATAAACCAATATATTTCTATCAGTTAACATGAGGCTTTAGTATGTTAATTTGACCCCACCTATGATTACATGCTTCATAATTTATTAAAATGTTATTGCTTCAATTTTTTTGTAATTATTCTACAAAATGTTTGATTCTATGTTGTTAAGACTGATTTATACTGAATGCATAAATTTCATGTTGTAAAAACCATAGTTTTTAAAATAAAACTGCCTATATGTTCTGTTCTTCAAGAAAGTGCTGAAGTTGTAGTGACCTACTTTTATTAATAGAACGCGATTGGTATAATGGAAACAATTATTATTATAACCAATTGTACCAGTGATTGTTTACTGTACTTGATTGTTTAACTGTACTAAAAACATACATACTTCCGTTGACTGTGACCTTGCACGCTCTGGGTTACGCTCAGTAGTTCTGTTTGTACTCTTTGTCACGACCTCGGTATTTTTTCGATACCACAAGATTGTCTACAAATATATCTTATTATAGCCGTCAACTGTCTTCTGGCTTTTAACCTACGAAGAGATCTAACGCAGTAACTGGCACGTAGTTTCAGTGTAGTGGTGATCATAGTCAACCGTGACTCGACGCCACGCCACAACGCTACGAAGTTTAGTTAGAAAATGGAACTCATTTATATTGGTAGTGACGTCAGCCTTTCAAATCTGGCGTAAATCTTCATCGAGTAGTTCTTTTCAGTTTGAATAAAAGCCGAAGAAAGTATCTTCATTGTGGAAAATCAATAATACTATTCTCAATCGTGTTAACTGTTTATCTAGCATGAATTTTCCCCGAAGCGCTGACCAGTTTTCAAAAATTTGATATACTATATTTATAGACACCTGTTTCATAGTAGCTAGTTTGAAACTTTTAAACATACTATAAAACCCAATGTAACTATAAATCGTACTTGCAAAGTTACCGTAACAGTTAACTATCTATGACATTTGAAATGAAATGAATTCAACCACTATTAAAGGACCAGACAGACATAGCATTAGTCGCGACCAAATAATCAATAAGTTTCAAATCTTTCAGTCTTACATGAGATCATCGACGACTTCAAAACACCAGTAGTGACGTATTGGACTGCAGAGCTATGTGGCACAGGTTCACACTCACACAGAGCATCAGTTCTTATGAGACTTCAGGTAAAAGCTGCTGACGATCGTCAACTGGTAGAAAACCTACATTCAGAACCTCTCGCTGACTACCTGTAACCACGTAACACCAATGATACGACCAAGTTATGTATAAATTTTCAAAACTGTTGTATTGTCACGAAAAATATTGTTCTATCAGTAGTGTTGAACAACTATGTATTAGGATGTCCAATCTGTTTATGATAAGGAAGTTAAAATATAAAGTTGTTGAGCTGTGCATCGCTTTTAAATTGAATCTGTTCATTATATAACATCAATGGTTAGAAACATGAAAAAAACACTCATTATATTGTATATCACGCTTTGTCTAGGTATATGAATTGGAACTAACACGTCATTCAATAAGCTTAGAACAATTCAATCTGTCTTCAGAAGTATTCAACTATGCGGGAAGAATTGGACGTATCATTAAAGCAATGGAAAACTCTTTGAAGGTTGGTTTTGTCGCAGATGTTTTTAGCTTTTATATTTCGTTACCTATTTTTAAGTTTATACTCTCAGTTTGCTTCAATTTAAAAGTCTAAAATACATTTTTTTCTACACGGTCAAACAAAGCGAAGTTGTAGGTCAATGATATAATTTTCACAATGGCAATCTTTGGTAAGAATAGGGTTTGAGTTAAACTATTACAAAATAAATATCACCACCCAGAATGATGTATAAAGTGTGCAATATTTCTAAATCTTACTGTATTTAAAAGTGTTTTTTATGACAGCTTTCTCCATTAGCAAAATGCAAGTGAACAAATAAGAAATTGTACTTAACTCTCATACACTCAAAAATGACTAACCTTGATCAAGAAACTTTCATATTACTTAAAAATAAATAAATCAGTTCTCGTTAGTGATTCTGATGGAAATGTTTTAGAGTGAAGAAAGTTTAGATACTTGGATACAGTGAGTTTAAGTCAGTGAAATTTTCACCTCTGTACTGCACTTTCCACCTCCAGTACGGTAATAAATATTATTGTTTTACGATAGATCCAATGACTAGCATATTTTCATTTGGCTGGTGGGTTTCACAATATTAAACAACACTTAACAACTTCCATATGATCAGTAAGATACAATGGTCAATGAAAGGAACCAATATCTATGTCGGAAAAATCCAAACCTAGACAAATAAAATTCTTGTAGGTATCATTACCAAGGTTTGACTTGATAATTTCGAATAAATTGAGCATTGGGTAGATTGTTATAAATAAATAGTATATTTTTAATGAGTAGAAAAATGCGATTTTCTGACGTTTCGTGACTTAGTGTGAGTCTTTTCTTCAGAGAACAAATGACCAAATCAAAATTAATTCAAATTTAAATAGTACAACAAAACGACAAGACTATTATGTAATCAATAAAAAAACAGGTCTGATTAAATCAGTGTCATGTCATTTCGGTGTTAAGGATGCACTGTTAAGGATGAAAAATGTGAAATATTTATGGTGAGAAAGGATATAGTTTAATTTGTACGATAATAGTGTGAAATGTTATTATTATTATTATTATTATTATTAATATTATTGCGCAATGAAACGTCATAAGAAAATTATTAAATTGTAAGATGCTAATTACATTCTTTTGTTCTTTTTGTTTATCCTCTTCTGATGTGATAATCTTGTTAGCTCTTCTAAAAAGATTTAGGGTTAGCGAGATCTTAGCACTGAAAGGATGTGCTGAATTGAAGTCAATATATCGATAATAGTGTGTAGGTTTTCGGTAGATGGACGGATTTAGGATTCCATTTAGATTTCTTTTCACTAAGCAATTAAAAATGGTAGCTCATCATATTCATTTTCATTCTCGTTCGTGAATTTGATGTGAAATGAAAGTGTATTGATCCGTTTCGAAAAAGATCTCAGATGAGTCATTTTTATCACAACAAATAAAATTCTTGCTTACTCCACAAGCAGTGACTGTCTGAACTCAGTAGCTCAATGAATAACGCGTTAGTGTTCAAAACAAAAGGTACTGAGTTCGAGTTTCAATGTGAAAATCATCACAGAAATAGTAGCACATCAAGTTAATGAAATAGAAGTAGAACGAAATATTCGTCATAGTCACTCAGGCTAGCAAAACCACATTGAAACTTATTCAGCACCAAGAACTGGGGAACTATGATATTACTGGTAGCCACTGAATGACTGATTATTTTAGAAATTAATTCGAAATTCCTAGTTCTCCAATTTGTGGTCAGGGCAGAGTAGTAGATGTGACTTAATAAAAGAAACAAATATTATTTGTATGGACCAGACTTTATCTATCATTGCATCCTTATATCTGTTTTCCCAAAATAAATTTCAATGTCATAACACAGATGACATTCACAAAAGAGAAGCTATTTACATTTATTGATGTATTCATTCGCTATTTGTGTTTTGTTCTTAGTTATACAAAGGAAATAGGAATCCATCCACCTTGTAGGGTTTTTAGCATTTATCTGTTTGTCCACTTTTTATCTATTCACTACTGTCTATTGATCGTTCTAAGGGAGTGACCTTGAGAGTGGGATTGAAAAGAAGTGCAGTGGTGTATTCCTATTCATGTCGAATAAAAATTTTGTATTATTGGCGCAAATATTGATGTTTGCTAGATTCCTCGCATAAGTTTAACTGAATTGTATATGTATGCATTGTGGAACCAATGAAAGCTGATATTATTTCCTCATTTGCTTTTATGGAGATTTCTTTATCAATTTTCAGTTGTAAACTTTTACGTTTCCGATAGTTTTTATTTCAGTCTATATTGTTGGCAAGAAAAAGATTTTGCAGAAGCGAAAGGATAGCAAAAAGTCACAAATTCTATTAGGTTGATTTTATCGATCTTTTATATTGAAACGTGTTTCCAATGGACGCGATGGATTACAAGGGTAGCTGATGGATCTCAAAAGTGACCGGAAATTGTTCATTGTAGTCTCATATCAGCCAGTTAATCCTAGACGACGTAGAAGCTGACATATATATGTATCGGTTCAGGATGCCACACGATGTTAACACAGTGTGACGAAATTATCAATACAAATGCCAGAGTCTTGCAATTATTAACAGCAATCAGATTTAAGATAACTGATCATGAATTTGGGCGCGAAATTCATTCATTCGTATGGCTAAATAGAATTTTGGCATTATAGCTGATGTCACTTTGTAATAAAACCCTAAATCTAACTCCTAATCTTAATATCCAGCTGTAAATTTTAATCCTGATTCCTCACACGAATTTACAGCTCTCATTAACTCCCGTAAGTAGGTGGAATTCTCAAGGTCAATACAGCATTGCTTAAAGTTTGTCCATCAATTATAATTCCACCGAAATATACAATAATGTGTTAAACAAAGGCCGAAAGGAAGAAAGAGGGTGAATGAACGTGTAGGATTGTGACCGATCTTGAGTCATTTTCACTCAACGCCTGTAATAATTAATTACGATAACCTCATGAACCCTAAACAGGTAATTTATAGCATAATTAAATGGAGGGTATTTAAGAAAGCTTGGGAGGTGGAATTTTAAGATTACCTTTTCTATCACAAACAACTAAACCCTAATGTAATCTAGAAGTCATAGATTTCATATAAATCATCTTCAAAACACTTGATTGGGAGGTTTACAGAGATTCTTCAGTTTGAATATTGTCCAAGTCAAAGAATAATTTTATCTAGAAAACAATTGCAAACCAAGAGGCATTAGACAATAGTTTCATTCTAATATAGGACTTCTTTGAAGTACTCACCCACTATTAAACCAAAGACTAGAGCTAGCGTGTTTCAGCCTTTGAAGCGAGTCGTTACCTTTAGGTCACGGGGTCAAGACCCGGTGGTCTAGATTTCTAACTAGTCGATTCTCTATAATTCAAGATCATAATTCATTGAGATCGGTGAATCTCATCTTATTCATAATTTGGTCAAACTACACGGACAATAGCTTCTTAGTAAAACTTAAGGAATTTTTCTCCACATTACTTACCAACGAGCACGTGATTTCTACTAGTATGATTGAAGTTCAAAATATGAACTATTGACTATCAACTCTGTGGTCTAAAAGAAAAACATTAGCCATGAAGTATAAGCGTAAACAGTTTCATCTACTTATCAGGTCTAGGTGAGGACTGATATCGTCTAGTTATGTGCTGCGATGAAGTTGTCTAGTACTCCATAGATTTCGATAACCACCTAGCTAATTTCATTCTGTGATTTGGACTATTTTCCAATAAGGTCATATTTATTACAGACCTATCTCATTTAGAATACCCCTGAAAATGGACAACGGCTTCGTCTTAGTGCGGAGCTATTCAATACTAAGCGTCTACAAACCATCAGGTTTTCTCAGGCAAGTATATTTTTATGTTCATCTACCCAATTTCCCTTTGAAATAGTTAACCTGAAAAAAGAGAGCGTATCTTTATATTCCTTTTTATATGTTATTCTAAATTATTAGATGCTTGTCTCTTGGACGGAAGAAGAAGTTTCCAAATATTCTTGGAATCCCAAACTAAAGGTAAATGTCGAAAAATAACTTTCTGTACATTATGTTGTTTTAAAGTCAAAGCTTTTATTCGTAAGGGTTTTCATTTTCGCATTGCCGATCAGTCCGTATGAGCTAATGCATATCTGGATGCAGTAGCTCACTGGATTGAGCTTTCAGTGTCAATATCAACATAGAACAAATCGTGCCCCTTGGATTCCATGAGTAACTACTGTAGAACTTCAATAAAATCAAAAGGGTTTTGTAATAGTCTTCAAAATACGGCAAATGAGAAACATTAAAGTAATATACTGAAATGGGAAAATTGATTTTACTGCAACTCATAATGATGGCTGGAACGAAAAGGAAAGCATTGTAATTCAACTATCCAGTCATTAAAGAACACAACGTGACACAAATGGTCCATCTGAGGTATATATTTTTTCTATCATTTCAACAGAAGCACCTATACGTTTGATGTCATTCATAACTTGAAAAATCTGAAATCCATCAAAAAGGTTATGATTAGTATTGTGATAGGAGAACTAGTTACAAAACAATACAGATCAATGCGGAATGGTGATACAGAATGAGATAGGCTTTATGTTATTATGCGCTGTATCCAAGACCTAGTGCTGATACATAACCTGCTATGTACTGACCCCCGACTAACTACTTAAGCAATAAGACAAAAAAGGCGAAAGCCTATTGGCTATCGAATAACGTATGCACATATAACCCTTAGAAAATCAATCAATTTCTTAGCCAATGGTGTACACTTGTCCTTTAGGATATTTCTGACTTTCATCAAATAATCTCACTTGACATTAAAGAGGAAGAATGTATTTGTAAAATTTCAGCGAATGAATTTGAAGTAAATCCAACGTTTCGCCTAGCAATCTGGTCCAAGCTTTTTCAAGGAAATATAACCAAACATCAGAATTACCGGATAATTTTGATAATTTTATAATTTTGATGTTTGATTATATTTCCTTGAAAAAGCTTGGACCAGATTGCCAAGAGAAACGTTGGATATACCTCAAATTCATTCGCTGAAGTTTTACAAATACATCCCTCCTCTTTATTGTCTCACATGGACTCGGCGCCCAAATACTGTGAAACTATTCGATCAAATTTTGACGAAAGTTCTTATTTAATCTCACTTGCTTGCTTCTAATTGGATCACTGAATCACTTTATTTTAAGTGATTTAATTAGTCAATTATGGTTGACATAGAGCCTAACACGAATGTGTGTGTTGGCCTAAGTTACCATTATCATACTAACTCGATAAGACGAAATTAATAGGATGAATAGAATAACTATTGAAACAATCTAACGACAATCATAATGAAAAAGACTAAACCCTGAGACTATGTTCCTAAGAGACAGAGAGGAAAGTTATGTATGAAAGAATACCGAAAGTCCAAACCTAGAGGAAGACAAAGAGTGAGTCCTTCGCACCACTACCAACGACCCTGACCCTGGAGTCTCGAAAAACGATAACCAACTTCAGTCTTGTCTTATCATAACAGTTCATTCAAGGATGTAAAAGTTAACAGAGTTCTGTTCAAGACTAAATAAACGACTAGATAAATAATACAGGCAGAGCCGAGCTATAAGGGTGAGAGAATCATGAACAAACAGGTCACTTGAAAGTTTCGTTTCAAATATCAAGAAAGAATATTGACTATCAATTGCAATGTAAATAACCCCATTCGCTAAAAAGACGCTAACCATAAACTTAGGAGTTACCGCCCATCGATTGTGTCTCGAAAAATCTCATCGAGGAAAATACCTTAAACTACTTAAGATGTATTTATTTGTTAGGACAAGGATTAAGATTCAGTGTTTAAGGATTTATAATAAGGTTTGAATTAGGATTAGGATGAAGAATGTAAGATATAGAGTTAGCGTTAGATTTGGGATTAGATTACTTAGCGACTATCTATGATACCTAATCTAGACCCTGAGCCATAAATCTTAAATTAAGCATAATGAATTTGGGCCCAAATCCTAGTCCAATGATAATATAGCAGTCAATCGTAACTACTATTTCCCAAATGGCTGATTAACGTTAAGAATCTGTCGATCCCATTTCAAGCGTCTCAAACTGATCATCATAATTCAGTTTACCAATAATATGTCACATACCATTTAATTTCTTTGTACGTCGGTACAGATTTCATCCCTTTTTTTCTTCATCTGTTTCACATAAAATCTTTCAATTCATCAGCCAGATATCACAAAGTATAATGATCTACGTGAGTTAAAGCTTGGTGATAAACGACTTGTTGATACGCCTGGTTATCACTTCAAAATTATGCCAAATAAATCAGGTGTTCATTTACCGGTGGAGGTATACAATGGGGGTAAGTATTCGTAACATTTTCTCTCAGGTTAGTTTAACTTTTATGTTATTTTTGAGGGTGACATATAGTAGTTGAATGGTTATCAAATCGTCCCGCGAAACGGCTGAAGTTATACGTATAGACCATGGGATTCTAATCGTTTGCTTCAACGCCTGATTATTCTAAGTTCGATCCTTAGCAGGATTTTGGGTGCTCACTTCCGAGGATTTCATACTAGTATGTGATATTTCAAGTGAAGAACAATAAAGACAAATTCTTAATCAATTGAGTCGACGAGGTTGGGAGTGAGAAAGTTACCAGCCGGTGATAATATAAGACAATTATTATGGTTTACTGAAAGTAGACTAAGAATATTCTTGAGAAATTAAATTGATCTTTAGGAGGTATGAGGATGTTGTGAAACCTGGAGGTTCTGGGTACAATTATATTTAAGACCATGAATCTGCATTACTATCAAATGCCAAACTATGACTAGGCAGCTGTTCAATTATACATGGTTTTGACTGACTCTTTGACTAAAGTTCGTGATGTGAACTAAAAATAATGTTTGAAAAAGCAACACAGGCAACAGGAATTGGACAAGGAAAAGAGAAGGAAATATAATACAGACATAAAAACGATCCAAAAGTTGGAACAAGAGTGAAAAAACATAGGATTGGTAAATCATGAGGACACTATGTAAATAAATAAGGCTAGTTGTCAAACACAACATGCTACTAAAATGTTGTAAGTAGTGTAGCTTAAGTTAAAAAATAATAACAAACCAAAGACAAGGGCAGGTGTAAAAGTTATTTAACAATACGTATGGGTACAGATTCTTTCTCTATTTCCACTTAGTTATTTGTTAAAACCAGACAAATATAAGCCCAAAAGTATTCGGGAGCAGGAATACGTAAAATATGTGCAGGAACTCTTTTAAGAAATTCAAAGTAATTAGTCCCTTTGATAAATTTCGATAACGTAATGTAATAAGATGACGAAGATTATCAGAACTCGGTGATATATTAGCGCAACACATTGCGAACAATCTGATCACACATATACTTGGTAAGAACATTTATAAATAAAAACAAAAGGTCAACTAGACTGGAAATGGGGTAACAGGAAACAAGGATAATAATAATAATAATAATAATAATAATAATAATAATAATAATAATAATAATAATAATAATAATATGAACACAATTTGAAACCTAATCACTCTGGATAATAAGTCAATATTACCAGGCTAGGTTTAAGGTGAGTACAAATTGTTTTTGAATACACAAAGGGGTTTGAATTTTCATATGGCCAAGGCTTCAATAAACCTTAGTATACGCTCTTCTACACTTTTATACAACACGTGGTTTGATAAAGGGCCTATCAGTCAGTCAGTCAGTCAGTAACAACGTAGAACTTCGTACGTACGTACATCAGTTCGAGTTGCCACACCACATTAGCATAGAGATGCAGTGCTCGATTCAAATCCCGTAGTAGTAGAGGTAATAAGAGTATAAGCAGTAATCGGGAAGATTAATGTTTGGAGATGTTACTTAAAGAGTATAATACAGTGAAATAAATTTGGGAAGAGAAAAAAAAAGAGACAAGGAGGAATAAGGAGATCAAGATTTGGGAGAACACAAAGAGTGGATTCACTTGCGGCATGGCAAACGATTTTGAGCCATGTCATTCAAAGTCTCTAACCATCGGTTGCTATCGTCTCGCGGATCCCAACCAGGTAGTCTACACCTACCAACATGACTCAGTCCACTTGTCAGTGACTTCATGGATTTGTGCCATGTTTTGGTCTGGCCGCCCCTAGCTTTCTTCCAATCTACTCCTACACCATAAAACATCTCACGTCGAGGCAGTCGGTGGTTGGGCATACTTAACACGTGTCCAAGCCATCTCAACTGATGAAGTTTCACTACATCATCAATTGATTTGCCATCCTTACCTAGTACGCGTTTCCTAACAACTGAGCTACTTACTCGATGGTCCCACGATATACGAGCAATATTTCGAAGACGCCTATGATCGAATACTAGAAACCAACGAATATCCTCTACTTTTACCGGCCACGTTTCACTGCCATAAAGTAGGACGGAACGAACTGCTGCGCAGTAAACCCGTCCTTTGGTTGATAGACGGATATCTCGCCTACGCCATAAATGACGCAAGTTGGTAAAAGCTAGTCGAGCCTTTTTTATCCGTGCTGAGATTTCGTCACACACCAGACCACAAGGGCTGATGAGACTTCCAAGATAAGTGAAGCGGTCGAGAGGCTCAACTACTTCACTCCCTATCATTAGTTTTGGTGTCTATTCAACAGGCTTGATAAATAAAATATTAGTGGAGAATGGTTATCCTCTGAAATTCATAAATAGATGGAAAGTCAATGGTACAGTGAGATCTACTGTAGCCTTTGTGGAAAAAAATCCTGTCTACATCACTCTACCATTCAGAGGTGATTGAAATAGCCTTTTACTGAAACAAGATTGATCTTAATTAGGCTTTTGTGGTGTTGTTTAAAAGCGTAAAAGGGAGTATACTAAGGTTTATTGAAGCCTTAGCCATACGAAAATTCAAACCCCTTTGTGTATTCAAAAACAATTTGTACTCACCTTAAACCTAACCTGGTAATATTGACTTATTATCCAGAGTGATTAGGTTTCAGATTGTGTTCATATTATTATTATTATTATTATTATTATTATTATTATTATTATTATTATCCTTGTTTCCTGTTACCCCATTTCCAGTCTAGTTGACCTTTTGTTTTTTATTTATAAATGTTCTTACCAAGTATATGTGTGATCAGATTGTTCGCAATGTGTTGCGCTAATATATCACCGAGTTCTGATAATCTTCGTCATCTTATTACATTATCGTAATCTATAAAATAATTGTCAGTATTGTTGTGGAGATCGTTGTATTTCATTGAAATCATGAAGCGATCGAAATTAGACTGCCATTGAAACATGAAAGCACTTGATGTCCGTTTTGTCCAAGTATGGTACGCGAAACCTTAACCTCCAGAAGACTGAGCCGGCATATGACGGTAATAATGTCTAAAATCGTCGGAAGTCGGCTCAGTGTTCAAAAGGTTACGTGTTCGTGCTCTAGATCGGAGGTCCTAGGTACGATTCCTGCGTGCGGAATACGTAAATGCTCTCTGATGAGGGGTTCTTTACTGGAACGAAACGGCCATCTTTATTCGATAGTTACCAGGTAAGTGCATTATTGTATTTCTATATTCTCCTTACACCAAACTTCCAGTGGACATATTAACTGTCGTTATGCGAATTCATCATCGTCAACTAATTATGTACCGTTTTCTTCGTTCTCTCCTACTTATGATATATTTGTATATAATTTATGATATCATAGTTGGGGTGATTCGCGTCAGACAATTCATATACATAAACTAATGAGTGCTTGAGATACGTACTGGCTGGTTGAAATACAATGATAGAAGCTTGCATGCTGTCTTCTCTCAATAGACTCAGAACTGGGGATAGAAAGCGTGCGTACCGGATGACCGATGGGAGTCAAGCTTATGTTAGACTCAGCTCAGGGTTGATCTTGTCAGTCGGAGTGTATCTTTCATTAAGGCTTGAAACACAAAACAGACGGAATGGCGTATGCAAGGTAGCAAACTTACAGCCGGAGTTTCGGTTGGTGAATCGGGCAAGTGGAATTGATTAGTGTCTCAGACATAACAAAAATCACACTTTTCGTTCATAAACATTTGTTTATTATCGTTTACTTTGTCTTCCTTAGCGAAGGAAGTTTTTCAAACGTCTTTTTATTACAGAAATGAAGAGTGACAGCTCTAATGCTTATAAACTCCACTATGTGTAAAAGACAAAATCGAGACATGTTAAGAAAATGTAATACGGTATGGTAGATGAACCTGGATATTTAGTTTCATCTACAGTACAGTCACTATCGAAAGTCAATTGGAATAATATAATTGTGTGTGTTAATGTATCTCAATTATCGAAATATTTATGCTTTCTATCATTGTTATTATTATTATTATCCTAGAATAAAATATAAATCAAGATGATTATACTCGCTTTATATCTTGTGATAAGTCAATCATATTAGAGTGGTAATAATTTATTTTTAATATTTGAATATTTCATAAAATTTTATTAGATTCTACAGTTTTCCATACTTTACGATGGACTGACGTATTGGATTCGATATTTCCAACCGAACCTAATTTACATTTTACATATTTTGCAAGTTTAACTGGAATTTTACGTGTATATCCAGGTGTGTTGAATTGATCGGCACTATGTTACATAGTTATACTTTTATTAGAATTATACTCTAGTCAAGAATTTACAATTTGTTATCCTTCAGAATTTTGGATATTAGAATTTATGAATTTTTTAACAATATATTTTTAACATAAAATGAAATTTATTGAAGAGTTCTTAACAGAAAATAAAACTGGATAAATTGATCAACAGAATTCAATCTACACTGAAGGATTGGGAAAACGACATTTGTTATTACTTATTGATTAATCAGTTTTAAGTATCTCAACCCTACAAGGGACCAATCACTGATGAAATAATCAGTAGCAACGTCCCAAAACATGAAATAGGGTGATCTTGAGCCTAATCCCATAATAAATGGTACCTCAAAATTATGTGTACTCTTTGCTGACGAGCGCGAAACAACACTATAAGTAGGTCAGGGATTTCCCCTCGACTACTTCTAACCATCTAGCATCTCAACATAATGAGTTATTCAGGCTAAAAGCTATACTGTAATTTGGTCGATAGGATCAGATCAGTACAAAGAACTAGACAAAAATTGCATTAGTCACTTTCAATGCTTCATCAAGTGAATAAAATATGGAAAAGGTGCTTGTTTTGATATAGATCAATTTTTATGAAAACTTTCTTCCTCTCCGCCGCTATTAGAATGGTCATCTCGATCTCCTATATTGTCCGGACATTCCGCGTACCTATGTTTATTGACCTGGTCGTCAGAAGTGAAATACGCCTCATGGCTTTCGACGAATCTCGGCTTTCACCAAAAGGCCTCATAAGCCTTCTAATTGAGAACCTATCAGCTCACTGGGGCAGAATTCAAATAACTTAAATGATCTCTCCTGGTTTGCGTTTTGTTAACAATGTTCTGTTTGACGGGTTGCGGATAAAAACCCTATGCCCAACCACCCTCCTTTGTCCGCGATCGGTACCGGTAGTAGTGCTAAAAGAGCTTCAGACGGAGCTACAGAAACTGCCCACTTATCTAATATTCAAGGTGAGCACGTTTAGATTCTTTGTTGATATCATAGAACTCTGTCATTTCTTGACTTTTGCACATACACCCTGTGAACTGAAATATAATTACTGGTACGTATACTTAACTGAATTTCTCGAGTCGTGGCTGCCCATTTAGCTAATAAAAAACACACCTTCATAAGAATTCGCTACAAAGTTGTGATAGTTTATTTAAATTTCTAACGTCAAAGAACATTCAGTATTGACGTTAGTTTTTCATAAACGAAAGGCTTTATCTCGGATCCTGGAAAGAAATCTAAAGCGACCAGACGTGCTGCGAATTCTCTGAATCTAGTGGGCAGTGACTGTTTGACTAATTAAAACAAGATGCTTGGCTTTCCATATCATATTCTGTAAAGAATCCTTAAACTGGATTGATCATTCGGTTGTGACCAATGTCATATATTTCAAGCCCTTCTTAGTACTGATAGAATTCTATAGATCAAGTTGTAATGCAGTCATTAGTCTAAGTGGCTTGATAAGCGATCAATCATAATACGAATGGCTCAGTAGTAATGTCTATGATTGTGATGCTGGTTGGTATGGGGTCGAATCCACCAGTTGGCATCAATTATAGACATACCTTTCTGGTGCGTGCCAAATAGCACAAAACTGAGATGTATAATAGTGAGCGTAAAATGTGACTGGTCGTTAAGTGTTGACAAGGTAGTAGGCAAATTCAACTACTTTATTATTTGTCTACTTGTTTTAATTTAGACATTTGACCTACATGTAAAATTACGTAAAAAGTGGCCGTGTAATTAATGTTAACCCACACTCACTGACTGGTTTCCCTGTGTGTTTGCTTTCTGTGCTCCTGCGGATTTTGGTAATGATTCGCAATAAACTAACTCTACAACAGATGTTCTGACTTCTGAATATTCTCCAGTAAATCCATGATACTACTAGGAGATTTAGTCTACTTAAATACTAAGTTAACGGGATATTATTTATTGGAGTCAGATATCGAAGAAATTGGCTTCTACAGACAAATAGACACAGCCTATTGACTATTAGATATTTGATTTTTCTTCTTGTTATTGATTTCTATTCTGGATTCACTTAGAGGGGCTGGTTGTAACTGTGTTGAATGAAGTATTACCTAGGGTTACTTTGGTTCTCCACTCTTGGTCGTGAATCGTGTATTTGATATAACGTGATCTAATCTCTATATTGTGTACCGTTCATGTACCCGATCTAGAGTATCATAGTATACTACAGAGAGAGAAGAATATTTTAAACCATCCGTTATGTCAATAGGCCAAGTAGAGTTAACCGCCACCAATCACCATCTAACATATGTAAAGAATCCTTTAACTAAATGTCCGAATCATCATTCATATTTTTAATTGGATTAGGTTAGGAAAAAGCAGCTAATTTCTCTGAGAAAATGATTGTTTTATTAAGATATGAATTAATACTTCCGAGACGATCTCCTCAAAGCCCCTAAATGCAGTCGTGACTGGTAAAAATCAACCATGTCTAGAGTCGAATAGTCGTCACGATCACCACAGAACAAATTCTGCACTATGTTAAGAGTTGGAAATGCACACTGGGATTCAACCATGGTTTAGTGCCTGGTGTTAGGGCCGGAGTTCCTGGTTACAGTCTTGAGGGTAAAGTGGGTAGGTACTGTTGATAAGTCCCATGCCAAACAAAACATCCGTTCAGTGCTGCTTGGTTTCTAGTAGTACCCCATATATGATCAATTTTTCACGAATAAACCTGCAATAAATGAAAAGTACAAATAGATGTCTCAAACAGTTTTAAGGAACAATTTTTCGAACACCTATTTCTTTGTTGCTATTGTTTTCATTTTAGCATTCCCTTGGAGAAAACAAAATGTTGATATGTTTGATGTTCGTAGACGTTCCTGGTAAGTATTATTGCAAAGGATTATACTAATTGGTTTTCGAGTAAGCTCTATATCTCTACTATTGCTATTACTTTGTAGTTTCATCTGATTTAATATATCGAACCATTTAGTCATTAAGAAATAATTCAGACTCACTGAATTATTATTGTCTATAAAAGATTTACTAAGAAAATTATTCGTTCTTTTTCATTTGTGAAGCTAGCAAATGCAAGAAGATTCTATTTACATATTTCTTTTGCAAGTATATGAAATGGTAGGCTGTTTGTAAAGGTTTGAATTTTCTGCGTTGCCGATATTGAGAACTGTGATTAATCAACCTTTGTCGTTAAATGTGAATCAAAAGGTTGTAGGGGGATACTTGTTAATAAAAAAGTGATTAAATTTAGTTCTGTATACTAACGACGAAATGATACAAACCTTTATAGTAAAGAAATTCAAACACAAGTTATTGACTATTTCGGTACTCACTGGTGTTTGAAGAAATAGATTCTGTATCTGTGTAAACATCATAGATGTCTTCGAACCGTTGTTTGCATATTTTGGAACTAACGCTCTAGCAATCCCGAGGTTATGCCCACACTAAGTATGGTGAACCAGTTGAAGGTAGTGAATCTTCATTAATTGAGATGGCCGGGGCATGTGTTACGTAAGTCCATCTACCAACTACCTCAATACAATGATACCTGGTGAGGAAGTAGATTGAAAGAAAGAAAGGGGTGGCCAAAATAAGACAAAATATCAGTCCATGAAAACAGTGACAATTGAACTGAGTCGTATTAATTCTTGTAGATGACCTGGTTGGTGTCCTCATGATTATTCCAATCAATGGTTAGAGACTTTGGGTGACATGGCTCAGCGTTCGCAATGAGGCAGGTGTATTCACTCATTTCCTTCCATGTGACCTTAAACTTCGAAATTCCTCATGAGCTCTTTGTAGTATTTCACCAATTCGTAGTTTCTTCCTGAATTGTATTTTTGATGTCTAATCTTTTCTATGATCGTTAGTATTGTTATTACCTCTACTACTCTGGGATTCGCCTTGACAAATTCATCTCTTTGTGGTAATGAGGTATGACAATTTGGACCGATGTACACATATGTCAGGTTGACTGAATGACTGATAAGTATCAACACTAGGATGCAGCTACATCAAACCGACGAGTAGCAAACAGGATTAAACGTATCTTTTGTATTCCTCTACTAGTCACAAAACTCCTCCTGTAGCTCTTCTAGAGTTACTGCCGGTCCCAAGCCCGGGTATAGGAGGAGGGTTGGGCATGAGGTTAGTGACCCCATCCCGTTGAAAAGTAACTCGCTAAAAAACGCTAACCAGAAAAAGTAATTCAAACCATTTGAACTCTGCCCTGGGAGTTAGAAGATCTTCATTTAGAAGAACTATGACGCCTCATGGTGAAAACCAAGTTCCTTCGGAAGCCACGAGGCCGATGCCCCTTCTAACAACCAGAGCAACAATTTTTATAGGTACATGGAACGTCCCGACAATGCGGTAGAACGAGAAGACCAGTCAAATAGCAAAGGAAATGAGGAGATACAAGTTGGTGGTGCTCGGAATCAGCGAAAACCATTAGACCCAAGCTGGGCAGCTAAAGCTATATACGGGAGAGATGCTACTGTACTGTGGTCACGAAGAGGGAAATGCTCCACACACTGAGGGAGTGGCACTGATGCTGTCCAAAGAAGCACGTAAAACACTTATAGGATGGGAATCTCACGGATCCAGAATCATCAAAGCATCATTCAAAACAAAGAAGGAGGGGATTACAATGAATGTTACCCAATATTATACACCCACCAATGATAGCAACGACGACATTAAAGATCAATTATATGAGAAGCTGCAATCAATCATAGCGAGGTGCGCAAGAAAGGACATCACTATTTTAGTGGGAGATTTAAACACTAAAGTCGGAATAAACAACACGGAATATGAAGATATCATGGAAAGACATGGACTGGGAGAGAGAAACAAAAATGGGGAGAGATTTGTAAATGTATGCGCATTCAACAAATTGGTTATAGGCGGCACAATATTTCCACATAAACGCATACACAAAACTACATGGATCTCACCGGACCACATCACAAAGAACCAGATAGATAATATCAATAAGAGATTCAGGAGGACAATGGAAGATGTAAGAACTAGGAGAGGAGCTGAAATAGCTTCAAATCACCACCTGGTTGTGACCAAGATGAAACTGAAGCTAAGGAAACACTGTACAACTGGAGGAAAAGCATTACAAAGGTTCAATACACCCTTCGAGATACTAACAAACTCAACGAATTCAAGATAAACCTCAAAAACAGGTTCCAAGCCTTACAGGATCTACTGAATAAAGAAGAAACTACTATGGAGGACAACTGAGAAGGTATCAAAAAAGCATTAACTTCAACGTGTCAGGAGGTTGTGGGCCTAAAGAAGCATCATTATAAGGAATGGATTTCTGTGGAAACCCTGGACAAGATCAAAGAAAGGAAGAACAAGAAGACAGCAATTAACAACAGCAGAACACGAGCAGAGAAACTCAAGGCACAAGCTGAGTACATAGAAGGAATCAAGAAAGTGAAGAAGAGAATTAAAGCCGACAAGCAGAAATGCGTGGAAGAACTAGCAACGATACAGGAAAAAACCGCAGTAGAAGGAAATATCAAACAACTATATGATCCAACGAAGAAACTAGCAGGGAGCCATAGGAAACCAGAGAGACTGGTCAAGGACAAAGGAGACAGGCAATCACTGAAATTCAAGAACAGCGGAACAGATGCGTAAAATACTTAGAGGAACTCTTGAGTATACATGCTCCATTAGATCCACCGAAGATCGAAGCAGCACCTCCAGACCTTCCTGTAGATGTCACTCCACCAACAATCGAAGAAATCAGGATGGCTGTCAGACAAATCAAGAGCGGGAAAGCAGCAGGACCCGACAACATACCAGCTGAAGCACTGAAGTCAGACATCTAAGTAACCACAAACATGCTATACCTTCTATTCAAAAAGATTTGGGAGGCGGAAAAACTGCTGATGGACTGGAAAGAAGGACACCTCGTCAAGATTCCAAAGAAAGAAGATCTGAGCAAATGTGAAAACTACAGAGGCATTACACTACTGTCAATAGCAGGGAAAGTCTTTAACAGAGTGTTGCTGGACCGGATGAAAAACGCAGTAGACGTTCAACTTCGAGATCAACAAGCTGGATTCCGTAAGGATCGGTCGTGCACAGACTAAATTGCGACACTACGGATCATCGTCGAACAATCAGTTGAGTGGAACTCGTCACTGTAAATCAACTTCATTGATTATGAAAAGGCATTTGACAGTGTAGATAGGAGGACGCTATGGAAAGTTCCTCGACACTACGGAGTTCCTGAGAAGATTGCCAACACTATCCGGAACTCATACGACGGACTACAGTGCAAGGTCGTGCATGGAGGACAGCTGACAGATGCATTCCAAGTAAGGACCGGCGTCAGACAAGGCTGTCTACTCTCTCCCTTCCTCTTTCTTCTGGTGGTCGACTGGATTATGAAGACCTCGACTTCTGAGGGAAAACACGGAATACATTGGACAGCTCAAGACCAATTAGACGATTTGAACTTCGCAGATGACCTAGCCCTCCTATCGCATACACATGAACAAATGCAGATAAAGACAGCCAATGTAGCAGCAGTCTGTGCATCAGTAGGCCTCAACATACACGTGAGGAAAAACAAGATCCTCAAATACAACACGGAGAACAGCAATCCAATCACTCTTGATGGCGAAACTCTGGAAGATGTGGGAAGCATCATCGATGAACAAGGAGGTTCAGATGCAGACGTAAAGGTGAGGATTGGCAAAGCATGGGCCGCATTCCTATAATTGAAGAACATATGGAACTCAAAACAACTTTCAACCAATATCAAAGTGAGGATCTTCAATACCAACGTCAAAACAGTTCTACTGTACGGAGCTGAAACTTCGACAAATACTACAACAACAATAATCAAGAAGGTACAAGTATTTATAAATGGTTGTCTACGCAAGATACTCAACATCCATTGGCCGGATACCATCAGCAATAGCCTTCTGTGGGAGAGAACAAACCAACTTCCAGCTGAAGAAGAAATTAGGAAAAGACGATGGAAATAGATAGGACATACATTACTCAACTCATCAAACTGCATCACGAGGCAAGCTCTAATATGGAATCCTGAAGGGAAGCGGAAAAGAGGAAGGCCAAAGAACACATTACGTCGGGAAATAGAAGCAGATATGTAAAGGATGAATAACAACTGGAAGGAGCTGGGAAGGACTGTGCTCCTTCACGAGGAGTAACAGTCGTAAGTAAGTAAGTAAGTCAGTACCAGTCACAACTCAACCTCAGTAAGATCTCTCGTTTGCTTATAAACAAGAGAACATTCAGGTACGAAACGGTTTGCCTTTTTGCATTTGCGTGAGTTACTTTGATACTTAGCTTAATAGTGAGTTAATTCTTTAAACTAATTAATGATTTCTACCTCATCTGGATTTCCAGATTAGTTTGAAGGAACGACATAAAAACATTATAAAATTGCTTAGACAAATACTTATGTGTGAACTATTGATAATCAGAATTGATTTTGTTCAACCTCAATCAACAAAATTAAAAACCACTTTGTTTTGACATAAACGTAAGATGACTTATAAACGAGTCAAAATGTGACTGATATGGCTTAACCCATTCTATTCTTTTTATTAGGATGAAAAATATAAAATTCATGGTACATACTCTAAAAATAACAGATTTGAAATCAAAGTATGATTTACAGATATTTTCCGTTCAATAATCGGTAATCCCGTGTTAAATAATGATTAATTTTAGGATTAAATATCAGAACATTTTTGTGGGACCGCACAAGTGGTGAGACAATGAAAAATAATACTCTATTTATTAGCATATGTTTGATTATAATGAAGAATTTACGATAAAAATAGGCAAACTACAGTAAATTCCCGTTTCTTGTAAATATACAATAGAATTTGGTTAAAAAGACTTATGAATATTAATGAACTCCAATAAATAGTATCGAATTACTATTTACAATCAGTCTTACTACCATGACATGTCTTGTCATCGGCTGATATTAATTCTAGAACAACTGTCTCACTTCTTCAAAGGACAGAGAAGGAGGAAAATATACGAACCGCTCTGATAGTACTTGTTAATTTTCTCAGTACACATTTAAAAAATGGCCTAGAAGTATAAGCAGATTGTCTTTTGAAGATTCAAAATTAGATAAGTATTGCTTGTAACATTGGATGATCATCACATTATCCTGCCAAGTGGCTCACATTAGAAATATGAAACATCAAGCTCTAATTCAAAGATCTATATGTAATATAATTTGGCATAGAATCTGAGATCAGATGTTGTTGTGCACCAACAAAGAGTTTACCTACAAAGAAGAAACTGTAATCAAATTTTCTTTTGTTTTTAATGGTTCTCCAGCTGATATGAGCTAGTAACTAGATATATTCTCTTATCTAACAATCCACTTCATGTGTTTACACTAAAGTTCTACAGTTCAATATATATACAGTGATCATATTTATGTGAAAGAGTTTTGGTGAAGTTTGTTTGATTTATAGGTTGTATTCATCTCAAATCTATCCCAATTGGGGAACAGTTTGAACAGAGAGAACATTGAACGACTGCTTAGTCCTAAAAATAGACTCATCGGTAGCAAGGACTCACGGCCGACGCTATTAGGGACCCAGCTCTTGGATGAAATGGTTGTCCAGTTCTCCCTTATCTTCAATGCTACCCTGAATGTGATCAATCTGCAAAGAATACAACCTAGAAATATATTATTTGTATATAAGTATATTTATTTGTTTAATACTGTATAATATAAATATTTCCTTATGTAAACGTGTTCCTATTTTCACTTCTATTTACATGAGGTTTATACAAGGTTCTTCTGTACCCAAAGATCTGTTCATATTACTTGACACGTAAGTTTGGATATTTTTTTATATACTGCCATTGAACGGTTCAAAGATGTCTTAAATGTTATCTATGAGCAAATGGCTAAACGATCAGATTCTTATCAGAACTTTAAGAATGTTCTCTGTTAGATAGTATTGATTAGTAGACTCATTTTTTGTACAAAGAAAATGGTTGAATTCATTAACACATATTTTCGATTGTGGAATGTTGAAAATGAATTAATTGAAAAATGATTCTTTTGCCAAATAGATTGCTATAGAATTCAAATCTAAAAATAATTTTAACTAAGTAGTTGGAGTTTATATTTTGACACACTTATCTTGATGCTAAAGTAAATGAAACTGTCGTTTTCTTTTCAATTTAACACCTAGAGTAGTGGTATGATGTGTAAACCAACCTCTTAGAAACATAATTTTGTTTAATAATTTGTGGAAAGTATTTAGTTCTGAATGGTAATGTTGACAGATAACAATGCAGCACAATTCAATCCGTGTTAATTCTCATTAACAAGGCTTATTTGAAAATTAAGGCTAGTTCAAAGTATTTCTGAAAACCTAATGAGCTACAGCAAGGTCAATCTTTTACATTCCCGTTTTAAAAGCAAGTAGACCATGTCCCCAGATAAATCCACGATATCATATATGAATGCAAAACTTAACCATTCACTTTTGATCTTAGTTAATAGGGTGACCAATAATAGGAAAGATATATTAATAGGGGTTTTCTCTTATTGACCTCCCTTAAAATATTGGATAAAGCTCACTTTTTCTGCTCGTTCCTTTTTTTCCTGATAAATACCTTCATATAAACAAAAGTACTAAACATTACCCAATATTGTTTACGTTAATTCATTTGTCCTCTATTAAATATTATTTTAGGAGTGGAAGTATGACTGGCCAGTCATTAAAACTGGCTAACTTATCAGCTCAGAAATTAATTGAAGCTCTTGATGTGGATGATTACTTCACTGTAGCACATGTAGGACAAATTTTTCCTGTTTAAACTTTATACAATTTTGGTCTAATTTTTTTACGCAAGTTTTCTAAACAAAGTCTATTTGTAATAAACAAAAGTCCTTTGAAAAAATTTATCATGTACCATTAAAATATTATAGTGTCTGTTCTAAACTTATTCTTTGTTCCAGCTCAACTTTTTACGTTAGAACTTCATTCAATGTACTTTACGTATCTGCATAACATCAAAAGCCTTTGCGCATACAGAGTGGCTGAAAGACGGATATAAAAACCTGTAACTAATAAATGAAAAAATCTCTTCAGATGTTTGATCACTTAGTAATAAAGGATGTCGTATTTAAAAACACACAATATGAACAAAGAGTTTCCCCTTTTACAGTTTCAGAAATTTAGAATTATTGGCTGAAAAATATAAAAACACATTTATTCGGACGGATAATTGTAAAACCTGATGAACCCTTATTGAAAAGTATATTTTTCGTTGGTCTTTCTGTTTTTAATATGAAGGGAATTTTTCGATAATCATAATGTGATATTGGTTTGATCCCTTAATGGTGATCGAATCTTATCGATAAATTCGCAATGTGGTTACTAGTCTGAGATTTCGTATGGTTGGAATTAGTCATCAGTAAACCCTGCATGACCTAGGTTCTATGCTAGTTGATACTCGCCATCAAAACTTACCTGCAATCTCTAGGGATTTGCTTCTCCCTAATAAATGAAAACCACACACAAGCTCTTATTCTCGTCATACATTTAAGCAAGTACCCATTATTCAGTCACTTATTTTCAATGAATTGAGTGAAGAAATTTCTTTTCAATTAGTTTTCATCATGGCTTTATACAAATATATATATATATATATTAGTATAGAGCCATGATGAAAAATTAATTGAGAAGAAATTTCTTTCAATTTGTTCCTTCTTTATTTACCAAATGTCAAAATGGGAATTTTCACAATTATTTTTAATTTGTTTTAAATATTTTTAATTGTTGTGTATAGTTTCCTGGAGCTAAAGATCATGTTGCACCAATGATTGTCACAGCAAATAATGAAAGCGAACCAATTTGTTTTAATTCATTTGTTCAGGCAACTAGACGTAATAAAATGGTGAGTTTCATTTTTATTTTGAGTATTGTTTGCTTCCTCTTCCATTTGGATTATTTGAAAGATGAATGGATAGAAATTATCGTGCACAAGACAATAACTGAATCATTTTTTTTACTTCACTTAGGAAAGATATATTTCTTAAATTAGTAGTTAGGAGTTATGACCTGTATGAAGTTAATCACATTAAGAGTGAAGACACAAAATTGTTCATGATAGCCAAAGAAAATTGTGCATCAGCTAAATTTTGAAGATTCTTACCCCTGGGTTCATTTTATCAATTCAACGGTAACGAGTTGTAAAATATTTGTCTGTCAGCCAAGGGCCAAGGATACTGCTCTGTATTACTCTGTTAGTGTGAAACATGGCCTATGAAAGTAGAATACATGGGTAGTTTACAATAATCTGGTCCTAGGTGTCCTAAACGTATTGCTAACCTGTGGTAGAAAAACCAGATGAGCGATGCTGGGGTTTTAGATCGACAATGACTGAGGTGTCTGGGACATGTCCTACGTATGTGTAACCACCATCTACCTAAACGACACTTGAAAGGAACCCTTCTCTTTAATGATAGATCTCTGTAAATAGTCATTAGAATTTTATAAACGTCCTTAAAGTTTCTTTCAAGTTTCACTAGAAGCCTTTTTAGCCTAGCTCGTATTTTTAATGGATACACCATAGATGAACCTTGTGTTTTTAGTTAGTTTGTCGAGTATATGAAATGCCGAGGACCAGTCTATCCATCCATTAGGCGAATCTTTCCCCTTAATATATGTGAATTAGGAAATCCTATCCGGAAGTAATTACTTAACAGAAAACCTAATGTAAATATTGTACGTATTCTTGTCAACTTCCTTTTATTTCATAACTACTAATATGTTTTCCTTTTTTAAATATTGTATTCAAAAACTCAAGCGCTTGTTTTACGATTTGAGTACTTTAAAAGCACGTGGTTATTCCGATTTTCCAGCATCATTGAAATTCGCTTATGAAATGTTTCGTAATGTAAGTGAAATTCTTACAGCTTTCATATTTTAGAAATCCTTTAGTTTAACTATCCCTTATATTATAACGTTAACTGGTTTCATAACATGTAGACAACTAAATGATTGAAGACAGTTGAGAGGAAATCCTAGATATAGGTTTCGTGATAGCTAGTACTAGTCAACGTAGTGTACCTCCAATCTTTGGAGAACTGGTGCTCTCAGCATAATTCGCACCCTCACCACTCTGGTTTTGAGGGTTTTCCACCTGATGATCCTAGATCAATTCGGGTATCCTGACGACTACCTCCAAACACTTGACATTTCAACATAGTATAGTTACACAAATTATTTATAATTCAAAAGATTGTTCACTGAAAGTATTACAGCTGGCAATCATCTGAGCCAAACAAACTGCGATCTGGTGCATACATTTCAACTTAATATACTTGAGAAGCAAGAGAAATGACAACCAATAAATTGGGCAGATTGTTACTCAATTATAAAATCAAGAATAAGGATAGAAATACTTAGTAGTCAGACACTGAAATATGGATGTATACATTCTTAAGATTATAAATCAAAATGTAGGATCATTAATAAAAATCTATCCGTTATCTGGTCCCATTTATTGACGAAAAAATTAAGATAATTCAGTAAGGAAAATCCAATTTCCAACTATTTTATTTATCGATCGTGTTTATAATTATCAACATTATTACACAGTAGTCTATCGGGAAAATATGGGACCACGTGGTAGTTTTCAATAACCAATTAAATAACAGCTTATACATGATTCTAAAAGTTTTAACCCAACTGCTGCGTGAGTTAGAATACTGGACATTATTAGGAAGTTTTAATTGCTTAAACTGAATCGTAGTGTACACAATTCAAAGATATTTGTGGTGTATGCTACTTATGCTTACAAATATAAGTAGTGTGTAGCACTAATCGGATGTAGAATGTTTGGTAGAGCAGAAGATTGAAATGAAAAGAACAGGAAGCAAATCGGAAAGCGATCGAGATAATAACAGAATTAGAGGAATAATGGAGTTAAGGTCGTTAAGACCAACACTAACCCGACTTCCCTTTCAGGTTCCTCAAGAAATACCCTTCCACGGTGTGTGCAGCCGAGAAGTGATATCAGCCCTCACACCCGTAACAGCACAAGAGACCAAGTTTGTCACATTCAAATCCCTCCTACACCTCCTAATACCTCTCTTATCTCCCCGACTAACCCTTCTCATGTCCCTTTATCGCCTTGCACCGCTAGGGCAACCGATTCGAGTACGTGGAACGTTATTCCTGGTCTCCTGAAACCACTCTCTAAACTACAAGTAGGAGCTTTAAATGTCCGAATACTGCCAAATAGGACAACAAGCTTCCTTAGCTAGGACTTTAGAATCTCGCGCCATCGATGTGTGCTGCGTCTCCGAAACGCGCATACAGGATCCGAGTAGCGTCATCTATTTGACCTCACCATGCCAAAATAAAGAACCGACTCGATTCACACTTCGTGTATCTGGAAGCCCAGATTCTGCTTCCCGTGGCCTCGCCGGCGTAGGTATAGCATTGAGTCCTAGGGCAGAACTAGCTCTCTTAGACTGGATCCCAGTAGACAGTCGTTTGTGCGCTGTCCGACTAAACGGAACAGTAAGGACTCGGAAAGATAGGGACACTCGTCGTTGCCTCTGCCTATTCTCTCACTGACTGCAGCTCAGACGATGTAAAAGATGAGTTTTACAGAAAGCTTTCCGACCTTCTCCGAAAATCTAGGTTCTCTGATGTAGTAATATTGTATGGTGACTTTAATGCCCAAGTAGGTAAACTAAGCGAAAGGGAAAGACACATGGATGGATCTTATGGTGTCGCGGCTCAATGAACAGATAATGACGACTGTCTGTTGCAGCTATGCTCAGATAACCGCCTGTTTCTATCAAATCCTAACTTTAAGCACAAAGAAAGACACCTATTGATATGGCCACCCCCGAATTCGTCCCAAAGTTGGAGACAAATAGATCACATCTCTACCAGCCACCGATGGAGAGGATCGATAGAAGACTGTCGCTCGTTCTTGAGTACATGCTTAGACTCAGATCACGCTCTAATGCGTTCGCTTGTTTGTCTGCGTCTCACTGGACATTTGAGGAACAACTAGGAAAACTGTTAGGCAGCCACGTAAGTGATGTCCGCCCCAAGACATCTTGGAATGGTACCCAAAAAGGCGTGAAAACGGCAGTGATATCTGCTAGTAAGGTGAACCACAAGGTTAGGGAGAAACACTGGATACAGTAGCATCTACCACACCGATAGATGCTCAAAAACTCATTCCATCTGGCTTTGAACATAACGAAGAGCGGAGTCAGCTTAAGCGCAAGCTGACAAGAAGCCTACGCAATGATCGTTAACAGTGAGGGGTAGCGAAAGCAAGACAGATGGAAAAGGCAGCGGCAATAGGTAACATCAGACAACTGTTCAGACTTGTTAAGGAAACCGGTATTAGGAACCCGACTGTTAGCGAAACTATCTCAGAAAAAGATGAACATATTATACATTCTCAATCCAGGAGATTGGATCGATGGGCAGAACACTTCAGGGATCAGTTCAACTGGCCTTCAGCCACACTTCGGTTTCCCACGATCTCCAGTCAACCTGAATGGCAAGTTAATGTAGGTCCTCCAACCCTTTACGAAGTTGAAAAATTTATAGGAAATCTGAAGCGAGGGAGAGCAGTGGGCCCTGACAGGTTTACTCCTGAGATTTTTAAGGATGGTGGTTCAGTATTAGCAGCGAGATTAACTGAGGTCTTAGGTAGAATTTGGGAACTGGACGTAATCCCATCTGACTGGTCTCAATCACTGATTGTGCCAGTCTATAAGAAAGGACAAAAGTCCTCTTGTGACAATCACACAGGAATCAGTTTGACTAATATAGTGTCTAAAATATTAGCTTCAATAATACTTCGACGCCTAACTAAAGCTCGTGAAGAACAGACTAGAGAAAAACAGGCTGGTTTTCGACCTGGACGTGGTTGTATAGACCAGATATTCACACTACGTCAGGTTCTAGAACACAGACACACATTCAGACGCCCCACAATCGTAGTATTTCTCGACCTTAAGGCGGCATTCGACCCTGTTGATCGTGAGGTTCTATGGCAGTGTTTGTCACTGAAAGGAGTACCAAAGAAGTACATTAACCTTATACAGGCTCTCTTCTCGAACACAACTGGTCGAGTGAGAGCTTATGGCAAACTGTCATCAGAATTGATTACCTCAAGTGGTGTTCGTCAGGGCTGTCCACTCTCTCCATTCTTGTTCAACTTTGTCGTTGACGTACTTTTAGAGATAACACTTTCCTCATCTAAATTTCCAGGGGTTGAACTTCTACCGGGAGGTTCACTTGTTGACTTAGAATATGCTGATGACATAGTTTTATTTGGTGAAGACGCTGACAAAATGCAGAGTCTTCTGACCACTCTAAGCAACAATGCAAGCATGTTCGAAATGCAAAGTGTTGCTTCAGGATTGGGTTAAATCGACACCCGGACTGGTGATAGGGAGTGAAGTAGTTGAGCGTGTCGACCGCTTCAATTATTTTGGGAGACTCATCAGCTTTCGTGGTCTGGTGTGTGACGAAATCTCAGCACGGATAAAAAAGGCTCGACTAGCTTTTACCAACTTGCGTCATTTATGGCGTAGGCGAGATATCCGTCTATCAACCAAAGGACGGGTTTACTGCGCAGCAGTTCGTTCCGTCCTACTTTATGGCAGTGAAACGTGGCCGGTAAAAGTAGAGGATATTCGTAGGTTTCTAGTATTCGATCATAGGTGTCTTCGAAATATTGCTCGTATATCGTGGGACCATCGAGTAAGTAGCTCAGTTGTTAGGAAACGCGTACTAGGTAAGGATGGCAAATCAATTGATGATGTAGTGAAACTTCATCAGTTGAGATGGCTTGGACACGTGTTAAGTATGCCCAACCACCGACTGCCTCGACGTGAGATGTTTTATGGTGTAGGAGTAGATTGGAAGAAAGCTAGGGGCGGCCAGACCAAAACATGGCACAAATCCATGAAGTCACTGACAAGTGGAGTGTTAATCTGACTCCAGTCGGATCATATTACTATTATTATTTATTATTATTATTAATTAATGGCTTTATTCAATATTATATTTTGGCACAATATAGAATTCTCAGCACGGGCTATTTCAACAAGTTTCTTACACACAAAAAACAGAAACAAAAACAAAAAGGGAAAAAAGGTTTTAAAAAATCTGAAAAACTGTACAACTTTTCATATTAGTGACATATTAAGAATGCAGGTTTTTGACTAGGTTAACTCTAACAACCTGCTTGTCACAGAGTATATTTGATAGGTAGGGTATTATAGAACTTTTATACTTTTGCTTGCGTGCATGGATTTTAATGTAATTACGTCTCTTTCTACTAGAAGATATACAAGGAGAAAGATAAGAGTGATGGGGTGGTTAGTATCTGATAAAATAACACCTGCCAGAAGTTTCCATGACTTCAGATGTCTATCCACAACCATATTAATTATGACCTCGAAAGATTCACTACACATCTTGCTAACTGCCTTCAGCACTCTCCGCAATACAGCAAAGTCTTTTCTCAAAAGCCCGGGAAAGAATAATGGAGAACAGTAAAGAATAATAAGTAATATGCAAGAATTGACAAATTGTAGGAGTAAATGACGAGTAATCTCAAGAGTATGCAATCTCTTTATGCAATAAGTCAGACGGAAAACCTTCGATAACAATAAAACGTGAGAAGACCAAAAGAGATCAGAGGAAAAGGTGACACCAAGATAATTGACTTTCGACACTGTTTATAAAAGAGTCTCCAATAGCACAAGCATTATGGGATCTCAAAATGGTGTTTAGGTGCCATTCATGTCTCATGCTGAAGTTAACAACTTGATATTTAGACGGATTAAGTATAAGACCATCACCAACAGACCAACAATCAATATGAGACAAAAACTCACTCATTTCTATGGGACGTAAAGAGGAAGAGATAGGCATACATACAGTGAGATCATCCGCATATTTCACAAAAGTGTTTTCTGTGGAAGATGGCAGATCATGCAGAAAAGCAGTGAAAAGAAGAGGTGAAAGAACACCTTCTCATGGTACACACTCATGAGACAGTAGAGACTCTGAACACTTTCCTCCAAATACAGTGTACTGTTCCCTTCCAGAGAGGTAGGAGCATAGCCAGTTGGTTATCCAGCTGTTAGTGCTGATGCTGATTTACTTGTTAAACAAACGCTGTCTTGGTATAAAATCAAAAGCTGAAGTATATTCCAGAAAAGCGCATCGAACATACTTCTTACCCTTTTCTAAGTTGAACACTATGTTGTGATGCAGAACAGCAACAGCATCTAAGGTGCTTCCTTTGCGTCTTTAGACAAACTGATACGTATCAATATGCTCTATTATCGAAGGCTGAAGCGGAAGTATTAATAGTTTTTCCATTGTTTTGAGGAATGGCGAAGTTATTGCAATAGGTTCAAATTTCACATTCTTATCACTAGATACTTTCTTGGGTAGAGGGATTATCTTCTCCACATTTTCGGTACGAGATTAGATGGGAAGGATATGTTAAAGATAGTCGTGAATGGATAATATAGGACGTCAGCAAATTTTTAGAAAGGAGGTTTTGGATACCTTTAGGTCCCAAACATCGGATGAATTAAGTGACTGGAGACATCTTCGGACATCAGTTTCAGTGAAAGTAGGAACACAGCTATTCTTTAAACCTGTGGATGAAGGGAGTGTTACATCAGATGACTGACGTACAAAAGACTTATTTAAGTCACAAACATTCAGCTGGTTATCGCTCCTAGTCTGTTTGTCACCTGTGTGTTCTTTAAAGAGTTTCCACATACTTGGAGAGTTTTCGCAAGACAAGAGTTTTTGAGTAAACATAGAGTTAAGACGTCTAGTCCCTAGGTTTATCAGACCATTTAGCTTACGAACTTCATTAGAGTTTTTCTCCTTGTATATTCTCTCTTTCACCCTCCGTAGTCGTTTTACTTGTGAAGATGTAAGTCGATCAAAACTTACAAAAAATGGTTTCAGCGGGACAACAAATATCAAAACAGAATTTAGGTTAACAAGTGATAACATCAGTAGTGATTTTCAGCGAGTCATCTGTAAATAATTCCTAGTTAATCGTATGAAACATTTTTTTCAGATTTCGGGTATTTTCTTCTGAGTAATTCCTATATTTGACTTCCTTGGTTTGATGTAAGAGTGTACTCTTCCCATGCTTTCCATATACTTTAGGTAGAACACGAATTATACAGTGATCCAAGCTAGGCAATGGAGCACGTTTACGAGTCACATATATACCCACATCATTAATGAAAACGAAGTCTAAATGAGCATCCAAACGAGTAGGAAAATCTACTACACTTTGTTGACCTAGTGACGTAAGGAAGCTACAGTCACATGAATTGAAATCACTACATACAATTGAAAGTGAATCACTGAAGGCAGTAACACAGAACTCAGTGAATTCATCAGCGAAAACAGATAGCGCAGATGATGTGCAGTCTGAAGTCACGTAGATATAGGTTACATAAATATATTTGTATTTATTCAGATGTTTTGGACGACATCTTAGAGTTAGACAGTCGATGAAGTCATTTGAAAACTTGAAACGAGCAAACGAAGATCGACACCAGTTCACGTTTACAAACGTAGCTACACTCAATCTCCCAAATTTGGGGAAGTTGCCATAGTAAACTTTGGAGAAATGGCACAAAAAACCCAAAATTTCCCCAGACCTGGGGAAATTCCCCTTTAACCTTGGTGAACGTCACTTGACTTTGGAGATTTCCCCAAAATTTCCCCAAACTTGGGAGCTTGGGCACCGCCGCCACACCTCTTCATTGTTTGATCGATCCAGAAGATAAATGTTGAAATCACGTAGTGATACTAGGCAGTCGTCCTGTAAATCATTCAACCAAGATTCTTGGATTGTTATGAAACCACAATTACGATACATATTTTGACTTAGTAGGAATCGAAGATTGTCCACTTTGTTGATTAGTGATCGGCAGTTGGATATTATCAGCTCGGGAATCGACATACGACTAATGTTCATTCTCTTTAACTCATATTGCCAACCACCACGATGTCTTTTATAGTACTTTTTTGTAATTTCCCGAGCTCCCAAGTTTTGAATATTTTGGGAAACTCCCGAAGTCAAATGACTTTGATCAAGGTTAAAGGGGAATTTGGAGGAAATATTGGGGAATTTCCCCAAAGTTCACTATAGCGGCTTCCCCAAAATTGGGAGCTCGGGATGTGCAGCGAAAGGTCGTAGGCTTTTAATAAACGCGCCTGTATAGGTTATGCGATTAATGGACATAATGAAACGTTAAAACAAACGGAAAAAATATAACTTGTTGAAATAATTAGGTGGCGGAATTAGGTAGTCCAGATATTCAAGCAGGCCGCCCCTAAAGGTGCAGGCGATGCTACCGAAATATACATCCCGTACACCCTCATATAAAATTTCCAACTTAATTCGCGTTAGTGAATTTACAGAACAATAGAATCCAAATCAGAGAATGAATTTCGGATATGTATATTTGACAGATAATCCCCATTTAAACATTAAAATTAAAACACGAATTTCAGCGAAGGGATCTCTTTTCAACGAATTTATTATCAAGCTGTACAATCGTATATATATGAAAATTTTGTTTTTGTAAAAGTACTAATTCCGTGAGGAAATGTGAACACAGTTAATAAAAAGGTTATAATACTAGATTGCGTAATATGAATAATAACAATAACAATGGATTTAGTGAATATAATAAGATGATTAAAATGCTTTTGTAATTATTAAGGTCATAGAGGTATAAAAAATAAAGTGATATGATGAGCGTTCATGAATATGACAATCAGGATATAAGACATAAGTAAAGGGAAAATGCAGCAATAATAATAATAGTAGGATAATCAAAATAATTAAGGCCAAGGTAACGATAACGATAAGACGTACTTCTTTTGTACGCTTAGTTCTGGTTTAAGCTCCTGGATGGTAAAAGCTTCGGCTATTTTTAAAAGTTGGATACGAAGAAATCTGGGTAGATTTGAACGAATCATATAAACAACCTTAAAGTCAATTTGTGGATCTGTTGAATGGTTATAGTCGATTAGGTGTTCAAATACAGAACTCCTAACTGCTTTCCTTTCACCCTTATAGAACCAAGCTGGGATATGTTCTCGTATCCGAGTTGAAAGCGAGCGCTGGCTACGGCCAATGTACCTCGGATTTGATCAAACGTGACCCAATATTTCGTAACCAGACGAAAATGATTCACAAACTTGAGATGAGTAGGATATGCAGTAAACAAAATCACGTTTATATAAAAAAACGTCAAGGTTGCTAATCGAATAATCTACAAGGTCAAAATGCGACGCAAAATAAGTAAATATACTGGTCTATTAAATAGCAAGAAAAACCCATATATGCTTAAAACAGCGGTAGTAGTTGTTGTAGGCTTTTAATATCCATCAACTTCTGGTCGTGTGTCGAACAAATGTCGATAGCAACCAATCTGGACTGTAACATACTATATAATAGTGTGTCATAGTTATTGATGAACAGGTGAAAAGTGACTATCATCCAGTTACGTTGTAACTACTTGATCAATAATAATAATAGGTAATGTGTTAAACGGAACTTACAGTGAACGGAATGTAAAAAACATAGAAGTCCATATATTTAGTGATCATCCAATAAGAATACAGTAATAGTCCCTAAAATAGTTACTATTTCTTAAGTTTTCGTTTCATTACATATTTTTCCCACTTTCTATATGGTGAACAAAACTTATAAGCAAAAAATTTTACTTATTAGTAGGTATGAAAAAATTTCGTTTAACTTTGAAATTGCGGTGTAATATAAAAGAATGAACATAGTCCAACCACCATCTCAATCTCAATACATAGTGCCCGTAGTGTCGAGTCACCTAGACTGGTGGCCACATTGCAACATGATCGATAGCAATCGATCTGCACTAATAATAAGGACTAGACAAGCATGACATTGATCACCACCCAGTGATCAATCAATTGTGATTACATCTCAGTCCTACAGGAGGTTAGTCACGGCTCGGACAGCTCAGTGGTAACGTCTCTGATTGTGAAGCTGGGTGACACGAGATCGAATCCGCCAGGGAGCACCAGTTCCCTCAAGATTACAGGTACACCTTGCTGACGAGTGCCAAGTAGCACGAAACCCGGGTCCAGGGTTTCCTGTTGACTACCTCCAACCACCATCTCAATGAACATAGTCCATTTAGAAGAAAAAATTCAGGCTTGATTTCTGCTGAATTTTGAAAGCCGTTATAGCATATACTTCTTATGTTATTCATTCAGCCGTGTAGATGTCATTAAAAATTAGTTGTGATGAGCTAAATTGACCAGAACTGACGTAGATCTTCAGAATCAATGTATAAATTTAATGACACTTTCATTTCGGCAAGCAGTTGCAATCCTTTTTTTTTCTAGATAAAGTCCAGTTAATCTTCTGGATTCCGCTTTATAAATCTATTATTTTTTCCAGAAAATTAGTCAGATATATTTTCTTTTAGTTAATCTGTACACGATTTTTGTTTAGTTAACTGGAAGTGAACGAGGAGATCGTGGTAAAGAATTAAGAAATAAAATTCTTGTATTAATGACAGATAATGCATTTGTATTTGATGAATCTGTACTCTCGCAGCTTAAACAACAAAAGTCTAATGTGAGTTGGTCAATTTAAATTTCTCTTTCTATGACTTGTTCAACTTTTGTTGCCACACTATCTGGTTATGCTTTACACAATCAAATAGCATGTAGAACTTTTAAAATTGTCTATCAAAGTTCAAAAACATGTCATTCAGTCATGATGAACGCGGAAGCTATGTTGATCCAAGTCTGTCATATAAAATTAGCACAACGAGATCAAATTAACAAGGTGAATAATAACTGAGTCTAAATAACTCAATAACAATGACAATAAAAAAGACTAAGCATTAAGAATACTCTGATACGTGTCAGGGTGAAAAGATAATCGAAAGTAATACCGGAACTAACAATCTAGAGGAAGGTAAAGAATGAGTGCATATGCAGCACTGTGATGTGTAGTCATTAGTGTCAATTAACGTTTCCAGCTACTGACGGTGTTTGATACACAAATCCTTATCCAATAGTTTGGATCTCCTACTATAACCCAGACCTACAGATATTAATTTAACGACAAAATACCGATATTTATAAACAGTTTCTGCGGTATTTTCTATTCACTGGTTAAAAAATATTTCAAAGTGTGAACCTATTAATTTTGGAAATGTTGCTGCATAAATCTTATCCATCATACTCAAATACTGTTAGCGTAATTTTTACAAAATTATGTGATACAAACGAATTTCTAGAGAGAAAATTCGAGAAATCCCCATTTAGACTTGACAATGGACGTAGGTTATATAGCTTTCCAAAGAGTATACGCTGTATGAAGATAGTAGTCACAGGATGTTACTGTTATGTCATTGGATTGCTTAACTGGTCTGTGGTTGATACTGAGACTATAAATTTGATGATGTACCGTGAAAATTGAAAACCAGTGATAAGGATTTATGTGACCTCCAAAATAAATCAAAATGACTTACGAATACACCACTTTATACGATTTATTTACAGTCAAATAAAGTTGTATTTCCATAGTTGAAATCATGATTCAATTGAAGCTAGACCACCATGAAAAACCTGGAAGCACTGGACGGCCGTTTCGTCCTAGTATGAGAATCCTCAGCCAGCTCAGTGGTCTAATGGTTAAGTACTTGCGCGCGAGACTGATAGGTCCTGGGTTCAAATCTCGCGGGGTGCGGGATCTTGGATGCCCATGGCTGTGGAGTCCCACACTAGGACGAAATGACCGTCCGGTGCTTCCAGGTTTTCCGTGGTGGTCTAGCTTCAATTGACTCATGATTCCAACTATTGAAATTTCTAAAATTTCTACAAAACCCTTCTGATAAAAGTTGTATTTGTAGAAATTGAACCGAGTATAAGTTAATATCAGTCCACTGATAATTTACTATTTGCAAACATTTAAAAAGTTCAAAACGAATGTATAGCATAAGCTAAATCTCTGTTAATATGAGTGTAAAACAATGTTTCTTACTGATTCAACTTTCACCTTAGTAATTTCATCATTATGCTTAACATGTAAAATTTCATCATTCTTATGTCTATTTATTCAAAGGCTTCTTAAAGTTTAACAATTACCATTCTCTGAGTCAAACTCACCACATTCATCCAGTTTATTCCCTATGCACGTTTGAAAATTTTTATTTTTAAGCATTGTAGTTTGAAATTTCTGAAGAAAACATTTATTGATGCTAATCATCAGTTTTCCCAACTGTACATGATAAACAAGCTCTATCGTTAATAATTATTTTTATTATAAGTTGTTGTGGAGATCATTGAATTCAAAGTTTCAAGGGACCATGATGATTGAAGTAAAAAATGTAGACTCTGTGGTTTGTAGGTTAAGGCCTCATCATGAGGCCTAAATGTTATGGGTTCAACCTTAGGCAGTGTGATTTATTGAGTGATATATATCTCAAAGTTTAGTGTCGAATTAAACTCTATAGAGTAAGTACAGGGTATCGTTGACATTCGATAGGGAACACAGATTATATGGAAGTTGACAAATAATGAAAATAAATTAGAACTCAAAGTTTGAATGACATGGTATTTGTCGTGAAACATAAAACTCCATAATTATACCAATAGTAGAAATAAACATAGCATTACATTCCACAACCGTGCAATTCAAATACACATGCGTACGTGTTTGTTTAAACACTAATGAAAACGAGATAACGGAATTCCCTAGGAAGCTATAATTGGTAAATCATAGGTTCAAACATACGTACGTCTGTCCTTCTGACCCAGAAAAAGACAAGCGATCTTTACTAAAGACATAATAATCCTCTAATACCATTTCTTGTTTAAAAGTCCCATCTACTATTTGATCTCGAGACAGCCAAGCCTGTCACAATGCACATTTAACTGATTCAAAATTAAGTCAGAATACATAATGCTATTTCATCATGACATCTTTGAATTGATTAAAGGTTCACAAACTACTTTACTGAATCACTTAATAGTGGATAAAATCAGTTCGTTTAACACAGGATTTAACATCGCTTATTCTAGTATTATTTATCAAATTAAGATTTTTTACTACTTCAGTCGGATCTATATGTTATGTTGATAACTTCATAATTTGTCGATTTATTTCGTACCGTAGATTACAACATTTATTTATTCCCTTGGTGAACCTGTTGGAGCGGCTTATGAACATAAATGAAAGCGTGTGCAACAAACGGTAAATCGATACATTTGAAATTAAAGTGTAGTGTAATATTATTTTGAAATCTTAATTTCATTTTAACGCTGACAGTTTGATAAACTGTTAATAATCAAGCAAATCATATAAATTTCAACATCTTCTTTACTAATGTTCATTGTTGTTTGGATGCATGAAATAAGTGACAGCATGGAGTGTCGTTCCACTAATTGTCATTTTTCGGGTATGCGTAGGTGAAAGTGGGGAGGATCGCTCACTTTGTTCACAGTAGCATAGTAAAATACACTTCTATGAGAATCTAAAGTTGTTTATTGAATAGATTTCAACAAGAAACATTTAAAACATTCACTCGTTTATCCACAGTTATTCCATCAACTAATTTGATTTCAATTTTGTTAATACAGAACTACTAATTCTTTTCATTCCTGTAGTATATTACATTTACAAATTTTTCATTAAAAAGTGTATTGTTTTATCAATAGTTCTGATATTAATTAATATTCCTTTAGATTATTATCAGTATCTACCGACCGTCGGAGCAGTCTCAAATTTAATGAAGGTAATTATATGATTATTATTTAATTTATATATGATTGTGACTCTATAAGGTTGTATCAATCATAGATTGATCTCGGTCAATATAATGGAAAACTGGGGAACATCAGACATTTCTAAAGCTCAGCCTTGTCAGTTATCAAATCTAGAACCTTCAGGTCTCTTGAGGATTGCTTAGCCATTAGATCCACTGAGTTGAAATCAAAAGGTACATTTCAAAATTCATCAGTTTACAATATAGTGTGACAATCATCCGATGTGATTGGTGACAACTGCTTCACTTCAGACATCTGAATTCCGTCAACTAAAACTTCTCATAAACTCCAGGGACATTTCAAAATAAGTCATTAATGAGCTGACTATTAATAGATTAGTCGAAGACGGTTCGTCAAAGATTGGTTGTCCGTGTGATTTGAATGCTCTGGGTGCAGTCTTTAGCACGATAGTGGGAGTGTGTTGTTAGTGAGTCCAGTAGTTGGACGAAACGGCTGTCCTATGCTCTCAAATTTATTATAATACCACAATTGAAATAAATCTGTTACGAGTACAACCTATAAATCGAACCAATCGACATAAACATCTTGAAATAAATTGAATTATTGTTTGTCCAAATGGGTGTTTAACAACGGTATGGGCTAACTAGTGGTGCATGTAGATTTAAAGCTATAGTTTTACTGTAGGAAAGATTTTTTGTTTTTTGAATTTTAATCTTAAAGTTTTTTTGGTTTTTACAATTTCCTAGTTAATTAGACATTTGTATAAGCTCATTAGAAATACTAGCAGCTTCTTTTTGAAGGCATGAACATACATAAACACTTACAAATGTCATAATACTGTACGAAATAACCCAGTTAAGCTCAAATAGTTCAAAAGTGCTGAAAGTGAAAATATCAACATTGACGTTCGTGGAGAACCAAAAAATTGGGGTAAACTAAAAGTTGATTTGTCTGGCTTTCGGATGTTTGAAACTGACTTTTTAACCATTTTCTAGTTCCCCCAGAAATCTCGTTCACTTAAATATGAAATGAGAGAGGATATAGGTAGGAGTTATGGGAAAAGATTTACTTCCAGGGTTAATTTATGAACAGAAAATAAGGATGTTTATAGATTTCTTTGTTGTCTTAATATTCCATAAGCCTTTAAAAATATGCTAAATTTAGTAAAAGGGGGTCAGCAATTACCCCGTCCAAATATGACAAGTAATTACATGTTTTTCTCAAACTATCTAAGTAGTTTCTGTCAACTGGTTTTTTCAGCTATTGAAAATATTTCTGAGAAATTTTCAAGGAGTTCCAGCATAAGTATTAACAGATAAAATGTGAAGATGAAATATTTAACTTTGGATAACTATTGGCTGATAATGTATGTCCACATCTACATCATTGATAATGATTCTAACCAAGTAGCCTGATGCCCATAACAATAAATTATAGTGAATTTGTTGATTTTGTGTTAGAAACTTAGCATCTTCCTCCAAATCTCGGGTGTATCATTCTGTCTACATTGTTAAGCAAAGAAATGTGACTTATTTGCGTAACTCCATTCCCCATTTCTACAATTGTATCCTTTGACTAATCCAATACTAGAGTCTTTGTTAAATGGTTTTTTTAGATTTCCTAAGTATGAGCTTCAATGTTCATATCTTCTCAGTTACATAGTACAAAAAGATATCATGAAACTTATCGTCTCTGGTTAATAACTAATACAGTCTGCTGAAAACCTACTAGATTTTTCATACACATAGTTCCCTTTATCATTTTGAAAAGAGCAAGAACAAAGATTCTAGCAGAATAGCATGAATTCATTTCGTTGGTTCTGGTCAGCTGCTTACAACCTGTGATATTTAAAATCATAATTACAAAATGGATTTAAATTACTTACATGAAAGGGTTTGGTTGGAAGTTATATTGAAGACATTAGTATAGTATAGCAAGGGTGTAAATAAATTGAATATACTGAATATTGTAAATATATACCTTATGTGAAAGAACATTACTTAACATTGAATGTGACAGCGGTTCAAAAGGCCAGAAACAAGTGATTTCATAATGAATAAACGTTGATGGGAATAAAATGAGTAGAGCTCAGTTGATAAAATAAGAATAACAATTTAGAAGATAGTTGAAATAAAATTCAATGATGTAATAAATGCATTTATTACAGGTTGTAAGCGGCTGACGAGAAACCAACGAAATAAAATGAGTTCATGCTATTCTGCTAGAATCTTTGTTCTTACTAGATTTTTCTATGAACTGTTCTGGAAATTAAACAGATATTATTTAAGTTTTCATAAACGATTTGCTTTTTGTTATATTCAGACGAGAAATATGAATGGCAATTCTTGAGAACCACTTATGGACCAATACGATGCATATATTTTTGTTGTATAGCTATTAAGTAGCTAAACTATGCATATTCATGTTTCTCATAGACTATTATTATATGACTTACCGTTCTTGAGTTCTACCCAGTCTATTGATTACAGTCTCCCACATTCACAGCCACTTTTGGCTAGACCTTGTACAGATGTTGTTTTCCATTTCGTCGTGCGATGTGGTCTGTTTAGTTTGTATATAGACCCATTATATCTGAAATACATGATTCATATCGCGGAGGCTGAGATTGGTGTCCTGGTCTCAACGGGCAAAGCTAGACAGGAAGAAGGACCGGTAAGGACTCTAGATTGCTATTACGTATTTGTGAATCATTGGTCCAGTCAAGAATTCACTGTTCTCTAATTGGCGGTATCATTACGTCATATATAATGATAGGGACGCAAGCCCACAAGTCATAAAATTTTTAAGCACTGTAATTTGATCCAACAAATTAGTGTACCATATTATGTTTGAATGATGGTGGAATCATTATTATAGTTTTTTAGAATATCTAAATCCAATACCCAACTTGCTTTTAAAGTACTGAAACGTAAAGATGAGATTTGCTTGGAAAACACTAGTGATTTGGAAGATAGCGAGTCATCTATTCAAGTAGATGAGCGTAAACGTACCATAGCACACAGAACGGTATATAGCTGGCTATAATATACCGGTAATATCAGCCAAACAAAACGAACTATTCGCTGTTTTTAAGGTAGATGAGCTGCTTAAAATGAATAAGCTTTCAGAAATAGCACACAAAATGAAGACTAGACAGTAAATTGAGGAAAAATTACTAGAGGTAGGAAAACAACTTAAACATTGAAACTATAGGTCAGTAAGACCATCAGATAATTGCAGTGGAGAAATTTCAAGAGCTAAAATCTACTAGTCCTGAAAGGTGGTTGAATATAACATTAGCTACTGAATAATAATAAACAGAATAGTATTACACACAGGAAAGCAGCCGGAAAAAGAATAAAGAGAATACAAAATGGTGATCATCTCGAGTAGATGTGCTTGATTGTCTTGTTCACCATAATAGTACTTCCTATCATTTAGGACTTTCATGAAAAATCAACTCAAATTCGCTTCGGACCAAGTGCTAGTCCATTACCAACTGAAGTAATTCTACATGGTGCATCAGATGTACTACATACAAATCAATATAAAGTAAGATTGTCATAATTCATCACATGCATGCTCTTTAAATATTATTAGTAATATTAAGATTAATTGCTTTCTTTCCCCTCCAACCCATCTGCTCGTCTGCTTCTCTACATTCAAGAATAAAGTCTTCTTGATTTTGTCATGTATATGCATGTTAATCTGTAGATTGAATTTAGCGACTTCATTTCATCTGTAAGTATTTACTGGCTATTTCGAAAAATCTGACGTGTCATTACTGATATATATATATATATATAATCTAGTTTAACTGACTTAATGTCGAGGTGTTTGGTATTAACGGAGATGGAGATACATTTTATTACGTATAATATCACCTCCTAATAAAAAAATCATAGTGTCCAGCTAGTATGTTGTTTATGAAGTTCACATATTGGAAGTAGTCTGAAACTCTTGCTATTGGAACAGTGTCCAAACGTTACACAACTAATAATAGGTGACAAGTATTAAATTATTCATTTACAACCACACTTAGATTGTTTAAACAGAAAATCATTCAATGTATTGTATATTCAACCGTAATGATTTAATATAAATAAAACATGAATTTTGTTGCAGCAATGTAACGAAACATTATTTCCACTTAATTTTTTTAGGGCACAGGCCTAATGGTTAGTATATCTATGCCTGTTTATAATCGAACTGTAAGTCGATGAAATTTTCATGCTCTTCTTTGATATAACTAATTTCGTTTCATCACACCGATAATGTGTACACCAACCGTAAATTTAGAAGATGAGATGTCAATTCACTGGTGTATGAAGGTAGTGTCGGGATTGCTGAGAGCTACGAAGGTTCTAGATTAGGTCTTAGATCAGATAGTGAGCACGTATTCCTTAGGATTTTTGAACTAGTATAAAAGTGCTGTTCAATTAATGTTTCTAAAGCTGATATCAATGGTAAAAGGTAATTTGAAACTCAACACAGTTTTCTTATCATCTTTGTGGCTGAAAACGCACAAAATATCTGAAGTAATTTCTATTCTTTGAGCTCAGTATGGGTGTCTGGGAACGGTTATTATTTTCTTGTTTTGTAATAAGGGAACTTGATTGTTTAACTGCGAAGCTCTGACTGTCATCTTTAGCTTCTACTTCACGTTGAAGTGACATGTTATCACTGATATCTTTACAACCCGACAACCACGGACTGGCCGTGACTGGTTCAACTTCATGGGTAACTGCGTCTCATAACATTTCGGGAAATCCATGTTCAATGTATCTGAAAAAATATATTACTTGCTTGGTGAGTGACATTCAAAAATGATTAAAGTTGGGTAGTGAAGTCCTTACTTGCTTACTTGCGCCTGTTACTCCCAATGGCGCATAGGCCTCCGACCAGCATTCTCCAACCCACTTTGCCCTGGGCCTTCCTTTTCAGTTCTATCCATTTTTCTCATATCTGTCTCCATTTCTCGGCGTAATGTATTCTTTGGTCTTCCTCTTTTCCTTTGACCTTAGAAGTTCACTCAACTGTAAATAAGTATATAAAACGCATCTTTCATTTAATAAGAACTTTTCTAAATTTGATCGAATAGTTTCACTGTGATTGGTCGCCAAGTTAATGTGAGAAATTAAAGATGAAGTACTTATTTGTAAAGTCTCAGCGAATGAATTTGAAGTAAATCCAACGTTTCGCCTGGCAATCTGGTCCAAGCTTTCTCAAGGAAATATAATCAAACATCAAAATTATCGATAGATTTACTTCAATTTCTTTCGCTGAGATTTTACAAATACATACTTCCTCTTTAGCATCTTTGCTTTGTTCTATGATTTTTCCGATACTTCTTTATCTGATATTAGTTCATGATAAAAAGCCACATCTAAACTGTAAAAATCTTCAGAGATCACTTGATTAAAACATTTATTTATCTGAGCCATGTTTGTAATTAAGAAGTCTACTTTTATTCAAAAAAAGCACATCAAATTTCAGAAAAAGTTACAATTCTTGGGCCTTATGGGTACAGAACTACCAATCGAATTAATGATGTATGGATTACCTCAATCAAAAGTAACTTCCTTTTTCTTCTTTTACTTTGTATTCATGCATAAATGCATAGTGATATTTTAAGATTGTAATTTGTAAACCGGGAATTACATCATCTGTATAGATTTATAATATTAGATGGTTGGTATGAAATAGTCGGTAGGTTTTTTCGAAATATTTTTTTGTCTCGTAATGTTAAGTGATTTTACAGGAGGAATTCCAGTTTTTTTTATAATTAAGACAATAATTATAATCAGTTTCATACTATTCCAACCCATTTCTAGTACTCATCAAATTCTGTCAATTAAGTTGCAATGTGATCACTAGTCTAAGTAAATTAACATTGCAAGGACTATGTTAGATGGTTAAAATCAACCCTTAGTAAACCTTTCTCGAATTAGGTTTCACTCTAGTTAGCGCGTATCGGCAACATGTACCTAAAATCTTAGGTGAACTAATATTTCTTATTGGAATTCTAACCCGTCTCAATCATCTGTGTAGTCTGATACAATACTCTGGATGACATACAAGATGTAGCGGTTGACATCACATATATGCTATTTGTGACATTATTTGAATCGATTTAATTTTTGGTATTAGTATTTTGATGAGACTCAGGTCAAGTATCTGTCAGTTCTAATGTCAAAGCGTACTTCACCGAACTATCGCAATACTCTACTCTAAAAACTATGATAAACTCGTAATCATTAACAGTTTGGAAGAATTCGCATTAGTAGACCATATTCCAATAGAGGTTGATCAAACTTATTCTTAAATGTCAACAGCTAGAAAAAATGGTCACTTACGAATAAGAGTAATAATAGTCACATAAAGATTTACCTCAGACCATATTGATTCTTTTTAAGGACAAAATAACAAAAACCTACCATTAAACTTAATGTTCGGACATTTTTCAGCTGTAAATTTAATCGAATGTGTATGCGCTGATTAAGAAAGAAAAAAACACTTACCTAACATAAGTGTATACGTTTTTGTTGTGAATTTTGAACAAATTTATAATTAAATATCGTTTCTTGTTAAAATATATTATTGAATTAGATAAAATAATGAATGAAAAATATTAATTGCGATCACCTTTTTACCTCTTTTGTATCTGTGGTCTTACTCCTTATACTTGGAAACGGGAAACCACTGTAGTTCCCACGGTGGATGTACGGATAAAGGTTTGATGGACTGATCGACTTTTCGAAAAAAACATGTTCCCAAAACAAGTTATCATTAGACCAAAATACACTCGTTTATGTACTAGTTTTTATGTACAATAATCTCATATATAGGGAAAATTTATTGAGTTATTGGAAAAACACAATGAACATGGTTTAACCAAATGGACACCAAGAAGTATAAATGTTAAACTGCATGGAAGCTCATACCTATAAAATGAAACGAAGTGCATACTAAATTGCTACAAGTATATTGACCTAAATAATGGCATTTTTCAATGTCAAGCGATTGTTGAGTTTTAGTTTGAATTTTCGCAATACCTTTCACTTCATATCTTTTGGTCAATTAATCGATGGAGTGTTGGGCACGTGGTTAGTCCATTTGGCTGTCTTCAGCCAGTAGTTGTAACCTCAAACTTTATTTCACCTATTTTGGTTAAAGTAACTGGGTGGTGGTGTTGGTATCACTAGTCTTCACATATACCTTAGGAGAGCGACTCAAAGTCGATTATACAAATCTGTATAACTGGTAAATGGGTTGCAATAAATTAACATATTAGTTGTGATTCGTTTATTTTCGATAGTTTAATTAAATAGTCAATAAAATCATTATTTTCAGCTCTATCCAATTGGTTACGCATTCGTTGTTAATACTAACGGTTATTTAGTTTTTCATCCTAGTTTGATTCCTGAAGTAAGTTGTTAATAAAATAATTTATGTTCATAGATTTAATGTTTGTGAGTATATAGAAGAGTTTGTTTTGATTAGTTGATTGATAACTGATGGTAGCTAAGATACACAAGATACCAGACTAGACAATTATTTTACATTTCTAGCTTAAAATTGTTTAAGAGTGAACATTGCATGAATCTAAACTGTCGTGTTTTTCGGCCCTATTCAGTTAAGGCAAATACTTCCCACAACATTCTGAACTTTCTATGCAAATCAGAAATCTGAAATAAGTAAGAAGGTTTAGTCGCCAAACTGAATTAATAGTTATACAGGTCATACGTAAATGCATACATCGGTCCTTCTCACCTAGCCAATGACACGTAGGCTGAAAATTTTACTAGAACCATAATCAGCTCCCTCAGTATCAGTCATGGTAACAGTTAGCATATATCTTAGCAAATTTTATGTAAAACCTATCAACATATAGCTGCTAAGACGTTTGGAATTGATAAAATGGGAAGAGTGGAATACAGAAACCATGATTCTTAAGTTCTCGTTGTCGAACTAATTGTTCTTGATATTTAAAGTCGAAGTATTAACTGCGTAGGCCTTCATCCATATTGATTACACGGTATTCCTACACCTGTGAGGCCCTTCATTTTGTTGTCATTTAGATCGGACGATATTTGTTGACGGGCTCTCCACTTTAGTGACTCGGGATCTGACTCCAAGGAGATCGTAATGAATGAGTCATTGGAATATATATGTTGCCTATCCTCGTATATAATCATCGACTTAAATCACGTTAGTCAATAATGGAATTAAATAAGTCAAATAACGAGAATGGACTTTTGAATACATATATTTTCTACATAAAGTAAGTGGAATAGAACAAAGCAAAACCACGCGCATTGGAGATGGCCGGCAAGTCACTTCGGATCGTACCCTCTGCAATGACGGTTAATGGGTTAATTTTAATGAACAAAACACTTACCCTCTTTATAACATTGCGAATAAGGTGTACACGACACAAAATGTGGTGAGCATTTGGATACACCTGCGTGATGGCAGCAGCTATTGCAGGTGAATCATCTGTCACAATGCCTACCACCTGTCGATTGTTGGTTGACCGTTGGAAGAACGACAGGATTCGAGAAATCAAAGTCGATGTCTCGCGACTTATAAATGCAATACAAACGGGTATTGTCTTAAAATCCATATCAAGGGCAACTACGTGATATAAATATATGTTCTCGTTATTTGACTTGTACGTCCCGTCGAAACCGATGATATCAAAGAAACGAGTTGCCCAATTCATTTGATCAGCAGTCGTGAAGAAAAAATACGGCAGACAATTTTCTTCGTCTAATTCGTATTCGCAAAGCCCTACCAAAGATGTTATGTGAGCTTTTAATTTTGCGTAATCAACTATCATTTACATTATAAATTGGCGAATTGCTTACCAGGAAGGTTGGCGTGTGAGAACACTTTGTACCGCATATTAAATATATCTTGATCATTCAAACGTTTTCCATAAGAATGGTAAGCAAACTGCTTAATGTCGAGTGCTGCTGTACCGGATATCAGGAGCGGTCGCACAGTTTCAAACTCTGCCTCCGTTAACCTGCGTACCCAAGAATTACCGTCATACCTCAGGGAATTGCACTCGTGATGGTGATGCACATTCTCACGTACAACAGTCCAATAACCTATCAACTTACAAAGAATGAAGGCCGGACATTGAGTGTTCATGGAAGCCCTTCGTGAAAAAAATGTACCTCATTCGTCTAATCCGCTGTGACGAACAACTGAATCTTCTACGGCCATTTTTCCAGCATACAAATTTCATATACGAGTTCTGATCTCTGCCCAAAAGAGAATCTCTCACAATATAATGACAGTACGTAGATCTTTGAAAAGTTCTGATAACGAACTTTAACACTCCAACTGATTGGGACGCTACGAGAAACAATGAAGTCAAAAATACGTTCTTCGTTTCTGTGACAACGTGAGAAACAATAGCGCTTGTACATGGCACGTTACTCTCCTCCATAATGATGATTGAAATGTACTTTGCCGACAAGTACTGACATTTTATAACAATTTCAAGACATAACTAACCAGTTAGGACGAACTTAAAACTAGCCATTTAATTCGACGAAACGGGATGATAAATTTTGGAAATGGGATGAAAAAACGTTTTTAAAGGTAAACATTTACTGCACGGCCATTTTTGTATTTTTTCGAGTGAAATTTTTTTTCATCCCTTTTGAAAAAATTTTCTCATCTCCATCTTCCAATAATTTTCATTCTGTTTCGTCCAATCAAATAACTAGTTTTGAGTTCGTTATAATTGGTCGTTTATTTCCTAAAATCGATATAAAATATGAGGACTTGACAACAGAGCACATTTTCCTACAATTATGGACGGTAGTAACGTGCAAAGTACCAGCTCTGTCGTTCCTCACGTTGTCACAGAAACCGATAATCTATTCTTGAGCACATTGTATCTCGTAGTGTTCCAATCTCTTGAAGAGTTGAAGAGCGCCATTAGAACGTATGGAAGAGCCACGTACTGCCATTATGTGGTGAGGGATTCTCATTTACATAGAGATCGGAAGCCGTATATTAAATTCGTATGTTGGAGAAATGGTCGTAGAACACCTAGCGGTTCCTCACATCCGAGTAGACGAACGAGGTAATTTGATTAGTGTTATTATAATTTTTCATTAAGGACTACCGTGAAAACTCAATGTGGCGGTTGCGCAAGATTGCAAATATCATAAAGTCTGTTGTCATACGCGTCTTCGTCATTGTCGTCGTCTCGTTCAGTGAACTCCTCTGAGCTAATCGAAACAATTTCTTCCTCGTCATTGCTTAACGTTGCATCCATATTGACGTTATTTTGACAGTTGGTAACTTTTAAAAACAAGTGAAGAACTTGGTTGATGATCCGACATACAACGCACTGATGCCAAAAGAATCACAATTGGTTTACTTATAGGGCATAGACATTGATCCTATTATCACTACCTTGGTAGATTCATAGCTTTGACTAGTTTTACCTGGAGTTATTTATTTTGTTATGTGGTCTTCGTCAAACTAATTCTTATTTTGCTATTTTTACTTCACACCAAAATCATCACGTTGTTCATCGGCCTTTTATGCACTTAGTTCTGTAAACTTACGTAAACTCTTCAAATCCTGTTTAACTATAATGTGTAAACCATCTTATCAATTTCTAACTATAAACCATCACTACCTTACTGCCCTAGGTCCTCTATATCTGTTTTCAAATGATCTGAATCTTGTGCAAGTTCTTCACAACCTGTTCTGTTTCTGGACTTCGTTTAATCACAGCCTCACCCGCTCTCCTGTTTTTGAATTCCGTATTCAAGTGACTTCACACCTGTTCAGTCACAGATATGCGCCTCCCTGTTTTTGTTTTCGAGTCACTCAATCATTTAATGATAGTCGGCTGCAGAATATGGAGAGAAATAAATTGAGTGTTCATGGATGCGCACTTTATGATAGTCATGTTGTAGGACAAAACGGCCGTCCAGCGATCCCTGGTTTTCTAACATTGTTCGATTCATGATCTCGATGAAAACTCAATCTTCACAAACCTACGCTGATAATGCGATTAATGTTTTTAACGGTGTTTGAGTGATGGTTGCTTCCCTCATCAAATCTTTAAATATATACGTGAATGTTAAATACCGTCTTCATCCAAAAAATCTACGACCTGTCACACAATCCCTAGTGTAATGCATTTGGTAGTTTTTCTCTGAACAGGATCCTTTGGCATTGTTAAAATTGTTATGGATTTAAATACTGTATGTCAAATCAAACTCATGAATTTAATTCAAAATTTTCAGTTGAAAATCAGTCGAAAATGTTTGAAGAAATTAATCAAAACACTTTTATAGGAACAAAAACCTGACGTCTTTACTATTATTCTAGATAGATACTAACAGGATTTAGGGAGTAAAGAACCAAGTCGAATTCAAATAGAGGCACTTCCTCGGATTAAAATTTCATATTGCTAAATGTGCAACAGATCCGACAACGATATGCAATTTATGTTTATATTTCAATAGCTGTCAAATCGTAAAGACTTCAATAAAATTATAGTTGTAAACAGTTGAATTTAAGTTATTCTCTCAATTGTTTAGGCTTTATTTTAATTCAGGTCTATTTTTACACAGTCTAATAACTTTTGAATCATTATATACAAAAAATTTTTGTTTAAAATGTCATGAAATGAAAGTAAATTAACTTCACTTTTCCCTAATTCCATCTGTTTCTAATTTGAGTGACTCGTTTTGCATTTTTCTTTCCTAAAAACCTTCATTCATCTTTAGTACCCTTGGTTAGATGATAGTCCGTACTTAGACTTTCTTGATGCTGAATTCAATGTTTATGGATCAAAAACACTGGTAAGCTTAAATATTCTGCTTAATTTTATCAATTTATTACAATAACAAATTAGCCTAATTAATATATCAACATTTAGGGCTATTGACAAATTGAGTGACAAGTGGCAGTTAGGACCAAGGCTTGGTCGAAAGCTTTCTACTGATTATATCCAATCTTCTTGTAATCTAAGATATAAAAACCTGATTTCGAGTCACTAAGACCAGTGGCCAAATTGTAATTTGTTTGCTAGCATTCACTCAGTACTAAAAGACTAGACAAACATGGTATGGTAAGATGTATATTTTCACCAGAAATATGTTTCATCCTAGATACAGAATATTTTTTTTTAATTGAAAAGAACACAATGGAAAGTTTTTTAAAAGTCTTTTCGACTGTTATAAACAACTTCATAGATGAGTCATAAGCTCTCTTTTATAATCCCAGTCAAACATGGCGGATATACTACTCAAACCAAAGTTTAAGATTCACTTATCATTAATCAGCAGCCACAAATTCAGAGATAGGTTATCAATATTTGATGGTCCTCCTATTTTGTCACTTTTAAACAAATTGTTTTTCCCTGGTATCAAGACAAAATCATTGAAATTTTTTCATCATGTATTTCAGATTAGAAAGAAGTTGATTGATAATGCTAGAGGTTCTGAACAAATTATCGATTTCATCAAAGTTTCAGATAATGTAAGTTTATTGTCACATTTTGAAACTCATACTTGTCGTGAATCATTGAGGCTTGATCTAAATCACTAGCTTTGGTTGACATTAAGTGACCGGCCAATATGATACCCTACCACCCATTTGAAAAAAATTGTGGGGTGTGAACGTAAAATTTAGGTATCGTTGATTGGTGGACTTGTTTTGCAAGTGTGTGCTCAAGTGATAATGAACAAACATTTTGTTACCTTTAATAATTTTGTGATTGGTCGTAAACTGTTCATCTTTGTAATCTGATTAGTTGAAATCGAAATCGCATCTAGAGCTGTGATTGGATGTCAGAATTTTCATTTTTTACATTTGAAATTTAATGATAATGAATAATTTTTTTGTGTAATCTTAGTCTTGAAAAAATTTAGACTTTTGAAGAAAAAGACACCAACTTAATTTCATTACCGTGCAATCCTACTGTTAGTGAATGTGTATTGGGATAAAGTTTTGTTTTCCGATCAAGTATACCTTGAATTGAAGTCGTTAGTTATCTTAACACGAATAATTATATGTATCTCAGTAAAAGAAAGTTTTTGGGAAAAAGCAACTGAAAACCGGTTTGAATATTTGATCATAGTGATTACTGAATGAGGTCGGTAGTCAAATATTTAATGCCAAATTGATAAACAAATTATCACCAAAGTGTGTGCATAGGTTTTTTTGTAACACATTTTGTGTTAATGGGAAAAGAAATCAACATATCAATAAATCATTATGATAACTTACTGCTTGCAATATTTATAATTCAGTTGAAGCAACCATAGACCATCATTTAATGAACTGACTTTGACAGTATATGAAAGTAGTACGCATAGTTCTGGTACTTTGGTTGACATTTTGCCCACGGCAATTAAGATTCCCTACCACCCATTTCTAAAAAAATGTATGGTGTCAAAGAAAAATTTAGCGATCGGTGATTGGTGTACTTGTTTTGCAGGTGTGTGCTCAAGTGATAATGAACAAACATTTTGTCACCTTTAATAATTTTGTAATTGGTCGTAAACTGTTCATCTTTGCAATGTGATTAGTTGAAATTGAAATCGTATCTAGAGCTGTGATTGGATGTCAGAATTTTGATTTTTACATTTGAAATTTAACGATAATGAATAAATCTTTTTGTGTAATCTTAGTCTTGTAAGAAATTTAGACATTTATAGAAAAAAACACCAACTTAAGTGCAATCCTACTGTTACTGAATGCGTATTGGGATAAATTTTTGATTTCCGATCAACAATTTTAATGTCACGAGTACTTATATATATCACATAAAAAGAAAGTTTTTGGAAAAAAGCAACTGAAAACCGGTTTGAATATTTGATAATAGTGATTACTGAGTAAGGTCGGTAGTCAAATCTTTAATACCAAATTAATAAACAAATTATCACTAAAGTGTATGCATAGGTTTTTTGGTAACACATGGTCTGTTAGTTCGAGAAACAAATCAACATATCAATAAATCATTATGATAACTTACTAGTTGCAATATTTATGATTCAGGTGAAGCAACCGTAGACCATCATTGAATGAACTGACTTTGACAGTATATGAATGTAGTAATAAATTTAACCGAAATAGGCACTTAATATTTAGTGAACTTTTTTTTGTAAATGTTCATTCTTAATGAGAATTAGAAAACGTTAGATTTAAATGTGGTTAATTTTAAAAGTCCATTGAAAGGGTTTATTGTGTTCACTTGTAAATTATTTGTAGTTCTGTATTTTAAAATTAATTTTTTGGTCGTAATAAAAACTAGTGTGTTTAATCAGTCATGTGTGAATATTGTTAACCGCCGTAATATGAAACCTGAATTATCTAGACATTATGAATGTAACCATTTTTGACAAGCATTTGAAATATCAGTTTCATGAAGTGTAAATGAACAAGCCTACGTCGTCTGACTGACTCAACAAATATCTATCGACTTTAAACGTATAAATATGAATAAGGTCAACTGTATCAATGAACATTTACAATTCTATTATTATTTATTTTCCTTATTATTATTATTATTATTATTATTATTATGTCAATTGACAAGATTCAATTGTCATACTATGCATTTCATTGACACAAAATTCTTTGCATTTTAAATTTTCCTATAATGCTCTTCCACTTATTGTGACTGAACACTGTACTGCAAATAATCCAGACCTTTATTGAATGACCTTTGTAATTTGCAAATGTTACAATTTGTAATTTATATATATATGTCGTAACAGATGTAAACGTTCACCATTGTTAATACATTACATTGTCAAATTCATTAATGCCATGACATATTTTTGGCCTTTATAAAATATGGAAATTATGGACTTATAACTGTATAGTGTGATTGTACCAGTAATTAATAGTTATATGGGTGTGCAAATGAATACGTTGATATAATCAGTGGTTATGAATAACAATGAAGGCTTAGTTGACGATCGGACTTAATTCATACGTACGCTTAGTTCTGGTTTCAGGTACTATTAATATAAAACTGGAATATGAAATTCTTGCATTTTGTATTCATGAAACGGATAATATTCTCATTTCTTTTAACACTTACTATATGACCTTTTAATCGGATTACTAATTTCAATGATGACGGCTTCAACTTGTTTTATAATGTCAGTATCTTATTCATAAGGAAGATATTTTTCTCAATTTTGTTTACTTCTCTATGAGCTTTAATCACATTCATCTTTGTAACTATCTTATTATATTCACTACTAAATTTATTCACCTAACGACAAAATAACGATTTTCACTATATTAAAATATTCCTATTAAAATGTACTAGTAATAGATAGTTTACAAATATGTTACTAAGACATGAACGGTAATCACATTATTTTACATCTAAAATTATTAGATAAGTGTTCATAAAATGACAAAATCTTGTCTGCTTTCTTAACCTTTATATGTATTATACATTAGAAACAAGTTTACGAATACATGAGCGATAATCGCTTATCGATTATTAATATCTAAGGTATATCGAAATGCATTCGACATTAAAAAGTGCTTAATCACTTGACCTTTGCCAAAGACAAAAACAATATTGGGAAAAATGCCTTTAAATCAATTTGTGGGTGGCCCTGAAAAGGGCCTTTAATCGTTCTCGCGGTGGGACGTCCAAACTATTAGTTGGTAATGGCGCCACACATCGGACAGTGTACTGCTCGTACGTTCGGTGATGGGTCATAAGCACAGAATCTATGAAACATAGCTTCACAAGGACAGAAAACCCAACCCACTTCATCACCAGTTTCATAGGGCGGCTGTGCAAGATTACAGATGTCACACAAACGGTTCTCTTCATCTTCTTCATTTTGGATGTCCCGTTCTGTTAACTCTTCTGAGTTTATAGAAACTACGTCATCCTCGTCGTTACTTAACGTTTCATCCAAATCGACATTTCCTCGATGCATCAACGGCGTTGTAAAGTTAGTCGACATGCTTGTTCCACTGTACAACTGCGGTTCAGCCTGTAAGTTCAACGGCGTTGGTGGTAGTCTACCGTGAAGTTCTTGATAAAACTGGCTATAAAGTGAACTGCATTGTTCCTCAGACAGTCGCCTGATTAACGCAATCACTGTATTCTTCATGCTCGGCTGGCTCAATTGCATTGGGAAATAATTCTCAACTGCAATACGAGTCAGATAAGTATCAGAGTGTAACCACCTATCACAAATTGACTGTAAGTTCACATCAGTCATACTGTGTGTACAGGAATCGAGAAATCAAAGTCGATGTTTCGCGACTTATAAATGCAATACAAACTGGTATCGCCTTCAAATTCATATCCAGGGCTACGACCTGATATAAATAGATATTCTCGTTATTCGTCTTGTATGTTCCGTCCAAACCAATAACATCACCGAAACGGTCTGCAAAAATCTTTTGATCACCAGTGCTGAAGAAAAAGTACGATAGACAGTTCTCATCGTCTAATTCGTATTCGCATCGCCCACCCAAAGATGTTATGTGCGCTTTCAATTTCCCGTAATCACCTATCGTTTACATTATAAATTGGCAAATGGCTTACCAGGAATGTTCGCCTGTGAGAACACTTTGTACCGCATATTATAGATATCTTGATCAGTCAGTAGTTTCCCATAAGAATGGTAAGCATAATTCTTAATGTGGAATGAAGCAGTACCAGATATTAGCAGCGGTCGCACATTTTCAAACTGGGCCTCTGTTAACCTGCGCACCCATGAATTTCCTCGGTACCTTAGGGAATTGCACTCGTGATTGTGATGCACATTCCCACGTACAACAGTCCAGTAGCCGTCGATAATCTTACAATACATGAAGGCCGGACATTCAGTGTTCATGGAAGCCCTTCATGACAAAAAATGTTAATAACATTTATAAAATTACCTCCTCCGTCTAATCCGCTGTGACGAACCGCTAGATGTTATACGGCCATGTCTCCAGCACACAAATTTAATGTACGAGTTTTCATTTCTGCACAAATGCGAATCTCGAACTACATAATGACAGTAAGTTGATCTTTCATAATTTGTGATAGCGGACTTCAGCGCTTCAATCGATGGGAACGCAACGAGAAACAACGTTGTCAAAAAGACTTCCTCTATTTCTGTTACGTGAGAAACAACAGCGCTTGTACTAGGCACGTTACTGTCCTCCATAATGATGATTAAAATGTACTTCGTCGACAAGTACTGATGTTTTATAGCAATCCGACAAAACATAACTAACAAATTAAAAAAGAACTTCAAAACTAGCCATTTCATTGGACGAAACGGGATAAAAAATATTGCAGTTTTGGGTTGAAAAAACATTTTTAAAAAGGGTGGGTGGGGTTTTTTTTTAAAAAATTGCCGTGGGGCAAATGAATTTCTGGTACTTTTAATATAAAACAAGAATATGAAATTCTTGTTTTTTGTATTCATGAAACAGCTAATATTCGCATTTCTTTTTACACTTACTACATGACCTTTTATCACATGAATCATTTCAACGATGATGGTTTCAACTTGTTTTATAATGTCATTATTTTATTCATAAAAAAGTTAATTTTCTTCATTATGTTTACTTCTCTATGAGCTTTAATCACATTTATCTTCGTAATGATAATCACTAATAAATGTTCTCATAAAATTATTGACCTAAAGAGCAAATTAGAATTTTCACTATATTGCAATATTCCTATTAAAATTGACTAAAATGTACTATTATTAGATAGTTTACAAAAGTGTTACTAAAACATGAACAGTAATCACATTATTTTAAAAAAATTACTAGATTAGTCTTCATTAGATGACAAAATCTTAACCTTCATATCTAATAAACGTTAGAAACAAGTTTACGAATACATGAGCGTTAATCGCTTTTCCATTATTATTCTCTAAGGGATATCTAAATTCATGAGACAATAATAAGTGCTTAATCACTTGACCTTTGCCGCGGAAAAGTAGTGAATAAAAAATAATGGAAATCAAATTGTGATGTACATTCCTACGTACAACAGTCCAGTAGCCGTCTATAATCTTACAAAACATAAAGGCCGGACATTGGGTGTTCATAGAAGCCCTTCGTTAAAAAAAATTATAAAACAATTTACCAAATTACCTCCTCCGTCTAATACGTTGTGACGAACCGCTAGATCTTATACGCCCATTTCGCCAACACACAAATTTAATGTACGATTTTTGATCTCCACCAATATGCGAATCTCTCACAACATAATGACTGTAAGTCGACCTTTCAAAATTTGTGATAGTGGTCTTTAACGCTTCAACCGATGGAAACGCAACCAGAAACAAGGTAGTCAAAAAGACTTCCTCCATTTCCGTTACGTGAGAAACACCAGCGCTTGTAATCGGCACGTTACTCTGCTCCATAATGACGATTGAAATTGTGCTTCGTCGACAAGTACTGATAATTTATAACAATTTTCAAGACATAACTAACCAATTAAATCTAACTTTTGAAACTAGCCATTTCATTGGACGAAACACGGGATGAAAAATATTGTAATTTGGGGGTGGGGTTTTTTTTAAAAAAAATGGCCGGTCAGACAATATTATTCACTAGGGTTCATTTTTAATATAAAGTATTTTCGGACACCAAGTTTACTTATGTTTTATAAGATTATAATAGATCACCACTGATCATCAGACAACAGATTCAGCGGCATAACTCATCTAAACATTATAGCGACTCAGGTGCAATTGAGTTTGTTCACATTTAATTTGGTTAAGCTGCAGTTGCTGCTTCTCTTTGCCTTCTGATTTCAAACACCGTTGAGGATTGTGTGATAATGGTTACGAGGGTGATTGGTTAACGAAACACAGCCACTACAAGTTGACGAAAGTCGACGAGTTGCCTTGGTTTTTCGGATGATATATATCACAACATAGTTGACCATATTTAGTGTACTTAATTAAAATAAATAAAAGGCCTAACAGTAAATTTCTATTAATCTCTTCTCTGATTTTCAAATAACTAGGATACAAAACTTAAGTTTTTTAATAGGTGGAAGTTCACGGAACAATTTCTACATAGAATGAATCACTAGATGTATATCACGGCTTCTCAAAAATATTTTTTTGCAATACTGAACAAATTGAGGTGATTTACTTTGTTTTTATTGATTTCACTTTTTAGGTGCATACTTATGTTAAACCAAGGCTGTATTCATTTACAAGACTACCTAATACAGATTTTGGGTAAGGAATGCTTCTTTTCCACTCTTCTTTTTAGTACGATAGATCAATAAATTTTCAGTGATATCATACAAATATTCTATCTTTTTTTGTTTGCTATGAATAATACATCTCTGAAAAAAACATGTTTCAATGGTTAAGATCATAAGTCATTTGAAGCTAGACCACCATGGGAAACCTGGAAGCACTGGACGGCCGTCTCGTTCTATTGTGGCACTCCTCAGCAGTGCGCATCCACGACCTCGCCTCCTGCGAGATTCGAACCTAGGACCTACTAGTTTTGCGCGCGAGCACTTAGCCACTAGACCACTGAGCCGGCATCCGACGGTGTCAATGTCTAACTTCAACTAATCCACTAATTTGAGCTACACATCCACCATTGTCTTCAGTGAGTTACTATCTCACAAAAGACCTGGTTGAACTCCACTGGTCACTACTTCTCACTAGAACTCCAGTATATACCTCTTGAAGCCAGTCACTAGTGAGCATATGTTGATTAATATCAGATGCGTTTTGTAGATATTATAGTAATTTCAATGGTTAGGATCATGAGTCACAAAATGTTTTAAAGCGTATATTTTTACAAAGCAGCTTCACAATTGATAGTCTATAAGAATTGTGTTTATGTGTCCATTCTCAGATTTTACTACTGAGCAGACAAATATAATGTGTGACCTGTAACATATGTGTTTCAGTTAAAGTTACCAAGTTACATGAAAACAAGGACTTAAATCAAAGTAGTGTAGTGATAAACATTATCAGTAGTAGTAATATTAGTAGTTTTTATATGTACCATATGGTTCTAGACGTAGATATTGTTGTATGGAATAAAGAGTTTTAGTTGTCATTAAAACTATGGGTTCACGGGATGCTGGAGAATGATCACATTTTCTCAATTGTCATCGATTCTTAACTTGCCGATCGACTCCTAACGTTCTGTTCGAGTGAGTTATTTAAAATTGATAGGTCACTGATTATTGAGCAGTCTCATTCTTTTTAGTCCTTTAATTTTATTCCGATCTATCGATAACGTCTAACCATAATGTAGTATATACTACATATGTTGGCAGGTTTAAGTAGTATGCAACACTAGTGGAAAGTAGAATACATGCCTGCAGAAGATTACGAAGATCCAGTTGAAGAAAACAGAAGAGGAAACAGAAATCAATAATAAAAAACAGAATCAAAATACCCATGGAGCATGTAAAGGAAAACCAATAAAAGATGTAAAAATTATGTATTCAATGTATAGTTTTCATATTTTAAGAAAGTACAAAGTCATTGTTCACCGTATTAATCTTCAGAGACTAGCTTTTAAGAGTTTCACGGTGTACGCAGATGTTTGTTTGCAGTACAATTTATGACATCCACTAGTACTGATCAAGCTGTTAAATATTAATCTGAATGTAGTTTTATGGCTAATTAATGCTAACCGAACTTCAAAAGATAATCAACAATTAATGACGGTTTCTTAAAATATAAGTATTTCAATACTATAGTTAAAATGTTGCATGTTCAGTTTTAGGCCTGATGATTCTATGTTGAATCTTTAACCGAATTACGCGTTTGCACTTCTGAGGAGCCCCAAACCAGTGAGAAACATATTTCCAGTGCTTCCTCTAATAATATCAATCTTGGAAGAATCTTTCTTTGTATTAGTTTAGTCATTTCATTCTACCTAATTATATATATTTTTAGATTCATCAGTAGCACAAATTCACAGTTTCACCTACAGTTTGTCACTTTACTGCGTTAAGCTTCAGTAAGTTACTTGAAGTCCTTCGATATGATGTTCAGATTGAGTGTTAACCTGTCAAGATTTCTTGACATTTGAAAAAAAGCGTAGATAGGAAAATGAAGACAGTACGACACAGATAATCGTCCACTATTCAACTACTCCTAAAACATAATTCGAATTGTGAAAAAAAAAACAAGTAATCATAACCATTTTTGTACCTACTATGCCAATTTGATGATAAAGTTATTTTCTCAGTGAAAGTTTTTATCAGACGGCAATTTTTCTCCGTAAATTGAATCAACGTCTTTATTATTTCTTTTTCCAGAGTTGCATTTGTTATGCCCACTGATCACAGTTGTTTTTGAATATTCCAAAACCAATAAAATCTAAAATTACTACAGATGGTTCAGGGAATTACATGATTGACGATGGTACGTCAAATATATGTATTTATACATTGTCAGTATAGGGTTACGGAAACTGTGTAACTTCATTGAGTTCATGAACTGATCTAGTTTAGAAAACTACCGAAAATATAGAAGTTTCAGACAGCCGTTTCGTTCTAGTGTGGGAGTCCACAGGAGTGCACATCCGTGAAACCCCAGCCAGGAATTGAATCCAGGACATTCAATCCCGTGTGCTAACGTCTGACTTCTAGATCATGGAACCAGGATTCAGTGGTGTATATGTTTAGCTTCAACCAATTCACGATATTGAAAGACTATCTCCTATTGTCTTTGGTTAATAGCTTCTTCAAACCCAATATGGTTAAACTTGTGCTCTATTGGGTCCCGGCTTAGGAGTCTAGGAGTCAAGAATTTCCACCCAAGACTGAAGGTCTTGGATCCGGTTCCTGGTTCTAGTATCATGAATGTGCACTCCTGAGGATTTACACATTAGGATGAATCAGCAGTCTGTAACTTCCATATTTTCAATGGTTGTTCAAACTAGATCGCTTTGTGATTTCAGCAATATATTTAGGCTAATTTCCTTATGGTGATTAAAATTTAACAATTATCTGATGAGACCCTAGTTGTAATTTCAAACCACTGCATTCTAGTTCGGTAATAAAGAGGTCATATGGTCATCGTAGGACTTGAATAAATTGGAATACTTATGCGTTGATATAGACTTACTTTCTTAAATTAGGCTGGAATGGCCATTGCTTCCTGCATTTAGTGGTTCATAAGCTGACGAAAATTACTTCCTTAGTTACACCTGTAACCCCTCGTGGAGGAGCATAGGCCGCACAACAGCACTCTCTATCCAACCCTGTCCTGGGCAGTCCTTTCCAGTTGCTATTCATACTTTTTGGTGTCTAATTCCGATTCTCGGCGCAGTATGTTCTGCGGTCTTCCTTCCTTTGACTCCGATCCTCACTTGGAATACATCTGTCAGCTGTCCTCCATATACGACCTTGCACTGTAGCCCGTCGTATGAGTTTCGGATAATGTCGACAATCTTAACAGGAACTCCATAGTGTCGAAGAAGTCTCCATAATATTCTCCTGTCCACAATGTCAAAAGCCTTCTCATAGTCAATGAAATTAGTGTATAGTGATGAGTTCCATTGAACTGGTTATTCAACGATGATCCGTTGATTTGTCTGACAGCCATCCTGATTTCTTCGATTGTTGGTGGAGTGACATCTACAGGAAGGTCTGGAGGTGCTGCTTCGATCTTCGGTGAATCTAATGGAGCATGTATACTCAAGAGTTCCTCTAAGTATTTTACGCATCTGTTCCGCTGTTCTTGAATTTCAGTGATTGCCTGTCTCCTTTGTCCTTGACCAGTCTCTCTGGTTTCCTATGGCTCCCTGCTAGTTTCTTCGTTGGATCATATAGTTGTTTGATATTTCCTTCTACTGCGGTTTTTTCCTGTATCGTTGCCAGTTCTTCCGCGCATTTCTGTGTGGTTTTCATTTATTAGGGAGAAGCAAATCCCTAGAGATTGCAGGTAAGTTTTGATGGCGAGTATCAACTAGCATAGAACCTAGGTCATGCAGGGTTTACTGATGACTAATTCCAACCATACGAAATCTCAGACTAGTAACCACATTGCGAATTTATCGATAAGATTCGATCACCATTAAGGGATCAAACCAATATCACATTATGATTATCGAAAAATTCCCTTCATATTAAAAACAGAAAGACCAACGAAAAATATACTTTTCAATAAGGGTTCATCAGGTTTTACAATTATCCGTCCGAATAAATGTGTTTTTATATTTTTCAGCCAATAATTCTAAATTTCTGAAACTGTAAAAGGGGAAACTCTTTGTTCATATTGTGTGTTTTTAAATACGACATCCTTTATTACTAAGTGATCAAACATCTGAAGAGATTTTTTCATTTATTAGTTACAGGTTTTTATATCCGTCTTTCAGCCACTCTGTATGCGCAAAGGCTTTTGATGTTATGCAGATACGTAAAGTACATTGAATGAAGTTCTAACGTAAAAAGTTGAGCTGGAACAAAGAATAAGTTTAGAACAGACACTATAATATTTTAATGGTACATGATAAATTTTTTCAAAGGACTTTTGTTTATTACAAATAGACTTTGTTTAGAAAACTTGCGTAAAAAAATTAGACCAAAATTGTATAAAGTTTAAACAGGAAAAATTTGTCCTACATGTGCTACAGTGAAGTAATCATCCACATCAAGAGCTTCAATTAATTTCTGAGCTGATAAGTTAGCCAGTTTTAATGACTGGCCAGTCATACTTCCACTCCTAAAATAATATTTAATAGAGGACAAATGAATTAACGTAAACAATATTGGGTAATGTTTAGTACTTTTGTTTATATGAAGGTATTTATCAGGAAAAAAAGGAACGAGCAGAAAAAGTGAGCTTTATCCAATATTTTAAGGGAGGTCAATAAGAGAAAACCCCTATTAATATATCTTTCCTATTATTGGTCACCCTATTAACTAAGATCAAAAGTGAATGGTTAAGTTTTGCATTCATATATGATATCGTGGATTTATCTGGGGACATGGTCTACTTGCTTTTAAAACGGGAATGTAAAAGATTGACCTTGCTGTAGCTCATTAGGTTTTCAGAAATACTTTGAACTAGCCTTAATTTTCAAATAAGCCTTGTTAATGAGAATTAACACGGATTGAATTGTGCTGCATTGTTATCTGTCAACATTACCATTCAGAACTAAATACTTTCCACAAATTATTAAACAAAATTATGTTTCTAAGAGGTTGGTTTACACATCATACCACTACTCTAGGTGTTAAATTGAAAAGAAAACGACAGTTTCATTTACTTTAGCATCAAGATAAGTGTGTCAAAATATAAACTCCAACTACTTAGTTAAAATTATTTTTAGATTTGAATTCTATAGCAATCTATTTGGCAAAAGAATCATTTTTCAATTAATTCATTTTCAACATTCCACAATCGAAAATATGTGTTAATGAATTCAACCATTTTCTTTGTACAAAAAATGAGTCTACTAATCAATACTATCTAACAGAGAACATTCTTAAAGTTCTGATAAGAATCTGATCGTTTAGCCATTTGCTCATAGATAACATTTAAGACATCTTTGAACCGTTCAATGGCAGTATATAAAAAAATATCCAAACTTACGTGTCAAGTAATATGAACAGATCTTTGGGTACAGAAGAACCTTGTATAAACCTCATGTAAATAGAAGTGAAAATAGGAACACGTTTACATAAGGAAATATTTATATTATACAGTATTAAACAAATAAATATACTTATATACAAATAATATATTTCTAGGTTGTATTCTTTGCAGATTGATCACATTCAGGGTAGCATTGAAGATAAGGGAGAACTGGACAACCATTTCATCCAAGAGCTGGGTCCCTAATAGCGTCGGCCGTGAGTCCTTGCTACCGATGAGTCTATTTTTAGGACTAAGCAGTCGTTCAATGTTCTCTCTGTTCAAACTGTTCCCCAATTGGGATAGATTTGAGATGAATACAACCTATAAATCAAACAAACTTCACCAAAACTCTTTCACATAAATATGATCACTGTATATATATTGAACTGTAGAACTTTAGTGTAAACACATGAAGTGGATTGTTAGATAAGAGAATATATCTAGTTACTAGCTCATATCAGCTGGAGAACCATTAAAAACAAAAGAAAATTTGATTACAGTTTCTTCTTTGTAGGTAAACTCTTTGTTGGTGCACAACAACATCTGATCTCAGATTCTATGCCAAATTATATTACATATAGATCTTTGAATTAGAGCTTGATGTTTCATATTTCTAATGTGAGCCACTTGGCAGGATAATGTGATGATCATCCAATGTTACAAGCAATACTTATCTAATTTTGAATCTTCAAAAGACAATCTGCTTATACTTCTAGGCCATTTTTTAAATGTGTACTGAGAAAATTAACAAGTACTATCAGAGCGGTTCGTATATTTTCCTCCTTCTCTGTCCTTTGAAGAAGTGAGACAGTTGTTCTAGAATTAATATCAGCCGATGACAAGACATGTCATGGTAGTAAGACTGATTGTAAATAGTAATTCGATACTATTTATTGGAGTTCATTAATATTCATAAGTCTTTTTAACCAAATTCTATTGTATATTTACAAGAAACGGGAATTTACTGTAGTTTGCCTATTTTTATCGTAAATTCTTCATTATAATCAAACATATGCTAATAAATAGAGTATTATTTTTCATTGTCTCACCACTTGTGCGGTCCCACAAAAATGTTCTGATATTTAATCCTAAAATTAATCATTATTTAACACGGGATTACCGATTATTGAACGGAAAATATCTGTAAATCATACTTTGATTTCAAATCTGTTATTTTTAGAGTATGTACCATGAATTTTATATTTTTCATCCTAATAAAAAGAATAGAATGGGTTAAGCCATATCAGTCACATTTTGACTCGTTTATAAGTCATCTTACGTTTATGTCAAAACAAAGTGGTTTTTAATTTTGTTGATTGAGGTTGAACAAAATCAATTCTGATTATCAATAGTTCACACATAAGTATTTGTCTAAGCAATTTTATAATGTTTTTATGTCGTTCCTTCAAACTAATCTGGAAATCCAGATGAGGTAGAAATCATTAATTAGTTTAAAGAATTAACTCACTATTAAGCTAAGTATCAAAGTAACTCACGCAAATGCAAAAAGGCAAACCGTTTCGTACCTGAATGTTCTCTTGTTTATAAGCAAACGAGAGATCTTACTGAGGTTGAGTTGTGACTGGTACTGACTTACTTACTTACTTACGACTGTTACTCCTCGTGAAGGAGCACAGTCCTTCCCAGCTCCTTCCAGTTGTTATTCATCCTTTACATATCTGCTTCTATTTCCCGACGTAATGTGTTCTTTG